GCCAGAAGGAACCTGTTTGGAATTACTGGAGTTTCCCAAAATGCTACGACCACAGCAGTTATTCTTTGTCCACCAACATCTGGTGTTTTGTGGAAACTTCTCTGCAACTACTGGTTCATTGGAAGAGGTCCCGCCTCCTCAGCAGCATTCCAGGGCACTGTCCTGCTGCCCCCACCTGAGCCCAACTGCTTGGCCACAATAGGCAGGTTTCTTGGCATGTGGGCCTGTCCTGTCTAGCTCCCTTTCACCATCCTCTTGCAACTTCTGCCTCAGGACCTTCCTAAATGTCAGTCTGATGTTCCTCACATACGTTCCCCGTGTGTATGAGCAATGGGGGCCCAGACTTAGTCATGCTTCTGTCAGCAACCTGGCTGGCAACAGGCTCTGCGATTTTGTCTGTGAGGTCTGCTTGGAGACATGAGATGGCCCCTAGGAATCTTTCTACCAAAACATCTTCTCAGGTGCTGGGTTCCGGAATCTGCATGGACAATGGGAGTGAGATGATTTTAGAGGCTCTCTATGGGGAAGTCACTCACTTCCATGTGTTGGTGAGGTTCCCAGGTTCCTGGGTGTCCAGGGCCAAGATGACATCTTGTGTCAAGGGTCACTTCTTGTAACAGCAGCCATCTCAGGACCAGCCTGCCGGTTCCACTATGGTCTATGGCAATGTTCTGGTCAACTGAGCTCAGGACACACTTCCTGCATAGGGGTTGTGAGGCTTACAGGTAGGAAATGACATCCAGCCGACAGACAGAGGCTACCCAAAGTGAAGAAGCTCCCTGAGCCAGGTTGGTAGGGTCGGGGCAGAGGCAGCCAGATATGAATGGTGGGGATGGCAGGGTTACTGTGCTGGGGTGAATCACCCACACATCCACTGGCCAGCAGTTTGGCCCCAGGACCATGGCCCAAATGAGTCCTCAGATATGCCCCTAGGAGAAGCAGTTGAGGCCACCTGAGTATCATCTCAGAGTGTAGGAATGACTGGAAGGCTTTGATGCAGCAGAGGTGCAGCTCAGCACCATCCCTGCAAGTTAAAACTATGGCACAGCCCTGGCTGGATGACTCAGTTGCTTGGAGAATCCTTCCATGCACCAAAAGGTTGCAGGTTCAATTCCCAGTCAGGACATATATCTAGGTTGTGGGTTTGATCCCGTCAATCAATGTTTCTTTCTCACATCAATATTTTTTTTCTCTCTTTCTTCCTCTCAAATCAATAAAATATATCCTTTGGTGAGGATTGGAAAAATCAAACATTGCACAACCCAAAAGAATAGAAGACACATTTAAACAAAAATGTACAGTATACCCACAGCAGCACTACTCACATTTGCCACAAGAGGGAAGCAGCCAGACACCCATTGATGGGTGGAAGATGAACAAAATGTCCACCCACACAAGGAATATTACTCAGTCATAAATAGGAATGAAGTGCTGATTCGCTGCAACATGGATAAACCTAGAAAATACGTTAAATGAGGGAAACCAAATACAAAAGGCCAAATGTTATATGATCCCATTTATATGAAATGCCCAGAACAGGCAAATCCATAAACAGAAAGCAGATTAGTGGTTATCAGAGGTTGGAGGAAATGGGAGTAACTGCTAATGGGATCAAGGGTCTCTCCACACCCCCTCAGGTGATGGAAAAATTCTAGATCTGAAAGAAGTACTGGTTGTACAACATTGTGAATATTTAATACCACTGAATCGTGACCATTAAATAGCTAATTTTGTGTCTTTTACATAAAAAAACCTGGAAAGAACGCCCCAGGAATATGGAGGCTGGTCAAAGTGTGTGAGGAAGTCTGTGTTGAGGGCCAAGTAAGAAAAGTCAGTGCACCCTGACCAGTTTGGCTCAGTGGATAGTGTCGGCCTGCGGAATGAAGGCTCCCGGGTTCAATTCGGGTAAAGGGCACGTACCTTGGTTGCAGGCACATCCCCAGTAGGGGGTGTACAGGAGGCAACTGATCAATGTTTCTCTCTCATCGATGTTTCTAACTCTATCCCTCTCCCTTCCTCTCTGTAAAAAAAAAAAATTATAAAAAGAGTGCTTCAGGAGGCCTTGCCTCGGATCTCAGGGTTTCCCTCCAAGGCAGGGCTGGACCAGTGGACATCATTAGCAGAGGGGAAGATACAGGTTTCCACCAGGTCCTCCAGTCCAGTACAGGCTCTGCATCCTTGTACCTGGTCGTTTAACAGAAGTCCCTAGAGCCCTGCTGGCAGGGTAGGGCAAGGCAAAAGCTTGTCGGGTGGCGCAGAAGGGAAAAGGCAGGACAAGGACACAGTGAATGATAGCTACTGCAAGTGATTTTACTTTGAATACAAAGAAAAAGAAATCCACAAACAAGAAGCTATATTGTATAGTTCTGTCTTTTAAACAATGTTTTGCATTTATAAATTTGTTTTCCTGATTAAAAGCACCAGTGAAGTTACAGGCTGCTAAAACCGTATTACAAACCCGTTAAAAAGGTATTATGCCAAACATACTTATTAAAAACCCTTTAACAACACAAACAATGCAACCACAAGCATATCCACTGTGCCAGGCAGCCCTTACCCAATTGTGCTCTCAGTCAGTGGGATAAGGAGTATTTACCCCAGGGAGAGGACCCTCACCATGCCTGTGGCCACCTGCTGGAGGCAGCTGTTTTCGAGGGAACCTGGGGCACCTCCAGGCCCAGCAGGCCCAGGGCACTTCTATTAACAGGAGATGGTGAGGCGAGCACATGAGGGTCTGACCAATTTTCAGCAGTTGACCTGCCAACAAAATCCTTTTGTTATTACTGTGTGCCCTGTAAGTTGAAGAGTTTGGAATTTTAATGTTTTTTCCCCCCCAAACATTTAGCTATATGACACTTATGCAACATCTCTCTGGTGGCTCACTTGCTACCTGTCTTAAATTTTTGATTGAGAAACTGTGAGACATTCAATGTGGACTCACAGAAAGGTATGTATGACAGCTTGATGTAATTGGTAGATGCTGCATTAGAGGGAGGTTCAAAACCATACACACAGTTTGGTTCCCATAAAGCTAAGTGGAATATTAAATGTTGAGTACTGAATTTTTCATTGTAAACTTAAGAACTTATCCTTAACTTTACACACATATAGATAACAGAGTGGTCACTAAAAGCACTTTAACATCAGAACATACATTAAGTTTTGAGGTTCTTCTTTAAATTGTTCTACATACAAAATGCCCTAGAAGCAAAGAAAGGCTTAAATAAATACACAGAGACAAACATGTGCAACAATTGAACTAATGTGGATACGGAGAAGTTAGACAGTGTGGGATCCAGGCTGGTAGGCGCAGCTTATGGCGAGATGGGGGTCCATCCCTAGAGTGGAGGGGAAGGCCCCTGGTAGAGGAGGAAGACAGAATGGGGACAGCTTATGACTGGGCTTACACCCTCCTCCACAGGCCTCACGCGCTCAGGGGTGTCAGCAGAGGGAGCAGCCCTGAACACCCAGGTTCTCCTGGGAAACACAGGGATGGTAGGTCCTCTTGGGACAAGCCCTGGAAAGCCTGCCCCTCTAACTGGTGACTCACCTGCATGCCTGTCACTGGCCCCCAAGTGGGCAGCAGGGCCCTGTCACAGGCCTGGTGAGGGCAGTGGCCCAGTGCAGGGTGATCTGCTGACAGTCCTGCTTGCGGCTAAGGCACACTCAGGCTCAGGGCCCAAGTAGCTACCTGAGTAATCCCATATCCTAACGTTCCTTCCATCACAGACAGAAGCTTCGAGAAGCAGCCTTCACAGTGCAAGGGTAATGAGACACAAACCAACAAGCCACCCTGACCAGCAATACCACTCACCACCCCTCAGTGGGGAACTGCTCCCAGGTGCCAGAAGTTGGAGGTGGCGGCTGCCTTGACTGCCCCCAATCCCACCATCACCCCTGAGGCACCTCCTAGAGTACCCAAGAGGAGCACACTGGGCCAGGTAGAACTTCCTGGAGGGGTCTAGCTTGGGAAGACGTTTCAACGTTGTCCCGAGACCCACGGTAGGTAGTCCTCCTCCCTCCCAAGGGCCAGGTTGGCTGAGCTCCAGACATCTGCAAATATCCTCTGCAGAGGAGGCCACAGAGCTGCCTTCGTTCAGCACCCTGAGTTGGACTGAGGAGGGTCCTCTCCCCTTTCCTCTGCTTCCTACACCACAATACAGACACTGATGGGGGAAGGCAGCTGGTGCAAACACAGGAGTCTCAGCTCCAGCTCTGAGAATCAACACACATGCACGTGCACACATGTGCGCACGCACACACACACACACCTTTATCTACTGCACATGCACACACATACTTGTCTACAGTATGCACACACATGCACATCCATGCTTAAAGCATGTGCACCCCCATGGCCAGTAATCCAGTCAAGATACAGATGTTTGGAAGGCAAGTTCATGGGTGCCCTGACCAGAGGCACTAGCTGTCAGGATGGACACTGGAACGAAAGGCAAGCTGGGAAAAGTGTTGTAGCAGGACATGCATTTTTGTCCCTGATGTGCATCCTCACTTCTTCCTTCCAATTTTTGGCCAGAAATTGGCATCTTGCCTCTAAGATCTGGAAGCTGCTGTGAGAGCAGAGGAAACACTCCAGCCTGGCACAAAAGTTCAGGCAATGGAAGTCACGTGGCAATGCCCCAGTGGTGCTGCCCATCCTGGCAATCCCATCCAGAAAGTCCCAGGAAAGCGTGACTTGTAGTAGGACCGGCAGTTCAAGTCCACTTTAAAGGAGGGCTCTGGAAAACTGGCTCCAACATTCCACCTGCAAGCCTCAGCACCGGGGTCCTGATTCACAGCGGTAAAGCTGGCCAGCCCTTCCTGGGAGGGTGGGAATTGGCCCTGCACACTCCCCGGGGACTTGGAAGCTCTGGGAAAGAAGCCTGGGGACACCATGCCAGCACGCCTCAGAGGAAAGCGCGAGTGCTCTCTGGGTGGAAGTCAGGGACACAATAGGCCCCACGGAGGCCTTGAGAAGCTGGTGGTCCCCTCCAGGGGTCTCAAAGGAGGCTGGCCAGGCTGGTGTTAGGTCCATTCTGAGCTTGGAACTGCACGGGCGGCGGGCCATCTGTCCACTGCAGGAAAAGAGAACACACAAGTGAAGTCATTCTGAATTACCTGCTTGGATGACTAGTGTCATTTCCCACACCCAAGGGGCTCCTGAGACTAGGCTCAGTTAGGAATTGCTGGAGAAATGCAGGGAGATGGCAGCCAAGCATACACTTCCTCTTCAGGAAGTGTGCCCCACACCCTGAAGGGCTGTAGGCAAGGTAAGCCAGCCCCAAGGAGCCAACCACCACCCCCATTCTGTCTTCCCCCACCTCGTGCCTATACCGTGATAAGGTTATGCTCGGGGAGGCTGCAGGCCTCGATGTGGTCCTGGAGCAGCTGCTGAGAGAAGTTCTGGTGCATCTGGGCGGCTTCATGGGCATCTATGGCATTCCCGCAGGCCTTGTTCAGGTCTGAGGGTAAGACACACACGGGTGAGCCTGCCTTCTCTTGCCACCACCCCATGGCCCTCCTCTTGGGTATAAGTGGAGTCCTAAGGTCAAACCCAGGCTCCAGCCCTGGCCGGTAGCGCTAAGTGGTTAGAGCGCCGGTCCATACACTAAAGGGTCACAGGTTTGATTCCTGGTCAAGTGAAAGTACCTGGGTTGCAGATTCATCCCCTGGCACTGGTTGGAGCATGTGCGGGAGGCAAAAAAACAAAACAAAAGAAAAAACACCACCACCCAGGCTCCACCATCCAGGCTCCAGTGCACCTGGCAAATCACTGGCCTTGAGCCTTGTCTTGGGATCAGCTAAATCTACCTGCCAGCAGCCCTTGCAATGCCCTCTTGAGTTTCTGAGCCATGTTCTTAACATGGGTGATCAGAGGGGCCCATAGGGGCAGATGTAGAGGCAGGTTGGGCAATGAAGGTCCCTGTGCACACTGGAGCTAGCTAGAGCAGGGCCCCCAACACCCACTTCTGAGGCAAGAGAATTGAACAAGTCCACAAAATCCATTGCCTCAGGGCCTAGGGCAAGTCTCTATAAATAGGGGAGCAGCCACCTGCTGAACCCCCGCCCTGCACCCAGAGCATCCCAGCCAGTCCTGCCAATGGGACAAGAACAAGCACAAGGACTCACAGTCCAAATCTTCACCCAGATGCCAAGAATCAGCCTCACAGGTGCTGCATTGAGCTGATGACATGACTGAGCCCAGTGACCACTGCCCTCAAATGGCCTCCTGAGAACCTGAGAATGTGCTAGAACTGGGGCTGTGGCATGTAGAGGCCAGTTTGAGCAAATACTGAGCAGGGCTTACTCAGCCTCTCTGATCTCTGGGAAGGGCCAGTTGTCATACTCACCTCTTAGCAGGGCTGACGACCACAACTGAACGGACATGTCTGGGATCTTGCTGGCCAGCTGCATGGCGGGCACCACCATGTTGTTACTCTCCTGTGGACCAAGAGCAGCCAGGAAGTGGAGGAGGCAGCAGGAACAGCTCAAGCCCACTTGTCATATCTAGCCCAGGCTAGCCCTCCTCCCGCTGCCTGGCACACTCCTACTTCTACTTCAGAGACAAGGATCACCCAAAACATGAACCAGAGATGCAGCTAAGAGCTGCCTTGCCCCATTCCCTGTTTCTAGAGATTTATAAATAGATGAGAGCCAGGAAGGTTTGGTTCTAAGCCTGGATCTGCAGTTTGGGCTGTGACCTTCATCTTCCCATCTGGACAAGAGGTCATCAAATCTACTACAGAGATACAGGCACACAGCCTGTACTCAGTGGGGCTTCATGTTTCCCCTAGGCACACACACAGATCACTGTCCCACTGTGCTCAGAGGCTTAGGGGCAGGGTGACAGAATGTTAAAGAAGAAGCAGAGCTGCACTCTGAAGGAAGAACCCAAAGGTCATCTTTTTTTCTTTTTTCTTTTTTTTTGGGGGGGGGTGGGGGTGGGTAACATCCCCAGCCATGGCCATCAGTACTGAGCAGCAGGGCCAATTAGCCTTGGAAAACACTTGACACATGGTTGTGGGGAGGAAAACCAGCCAGGCTCATTTAAAAAGCTTTTTTTTTGTCCTAGCTGGTTTGGCCCAGTGGATAGAGTGTTGGTCTGGGGACTAAAAGGTCCTGGGTTTGATTCCAGTCAAGGGCACATGCCTGGATTGTGGGTTCAATCCCCAGTAGAGGGCATGCAGGAGGCAGCTGATCAATGATTTTCTCTCATTGAACTTTCTCTCTCCCCCTTCCTCTCTGAAATCAATCAATATACACACACAAACACACTGAGTGGCCAGGTTATTATGATCTCTGAACGCATAATAATCTGGCCACTCAGAGTGTGTGTGTGTGTGTGTGTGTGTGTGTGTGTGTGTGTGTGTGTGTATTTATTTTAGAGGCCTGGTGCATGAATTCATGCATGGGTGGGGTCTGGTCCAGCCAGCCTGGCCAGGGGGAGGGGACATGGGCGGTTGGCAGGACTTCCAGCTGGTCGAACTCCTGGTTGAGGGGACAATTTGCATATTAGTTTTTATTATATAGGATATACACTGAGTGGCCAGATTATTATGCGTTCAGAGATCATAATAATCTGGCCACTCAGTGTATATATAAAATAAAAATAAAAAGCTAATTTTTAGGGAGCTCCAGGGTTTGGTCAGATGAAACTTACAGGCCAAGACACCTGACCTGTGTCATCTGTTTTGTGAAAACATTCAAGTGAGGCTGGCTAACTATGGAGTAGATGCTGCTTCAAAACTCTCGCTGCTGTTAGAAAAGCTCTGATGCCATGGTGTAGGGAAAGACAGGATGTAAAACCAGAGAACATCCTGAGAAACAACCTATGGGTAGGCAGGGGCGGGCAATGGAAAAAGCCGGAAAACAGAGGTTATGCAATGATTTTCAACTTTGCTTCTCAGAGCTTCTATGATAAACATGTCATATTTTATAATACGGACAAATGGTTTTGTTAAAAAATTAAAGGTCTGCCGGGACCGGTTTGGCTCAATGGATAGAGCGTCGGCTTGGGGACTGAAGGGTCCCAGGTTCGATTCCGGTCAAGGGCATGTACCTTGGTTGCGGGCATATCCCCAATGGTATGCAAGAGGCAGCTGATCAATGACTCTCTCTCATCGATGTTTCTAACTCTCCCTCTCCTTTCTTCTCTGTACAAAATCAATAAAATATATTTTAAAAAAAATTTAAGGTCTGTGAGGTCAATGGGTGAGAGCATGCAATGATGCATAACTGATGGGGAGACCAGAACCAGCTCCAGGGGCCACTCTAGGTGAGAGTGGAAACAGGAGACCTGAGGATATCATGTTTGCTGGGCAGCAACAGAACCTAAGGGATTCTGACTAAAAGGACACTCTCCATCCAAGATATTAACACACACAAAGGGGAACCTGCCTCAGCCCTCCCAGTTCCAGGAAGCCCCAACCAAGCACAGGATCCGTCTGCCCTATAGGCCCACCCTCCAGGGACCCCAAATTCCCCAGGCTTGCCCCCCGGCTGTGCGAGCCAGGATACCTCTGCCCTTGCCAAGCCTCATGAAGCAAAGAGGGCTGGGGGAAGGGTGTCACAGAGACATGACAATTGAGGGGCACTGGATGCAAAGCACTGCCTGATGGTGCCCCAAAAAACCAGGCCCTGTCCCTCAGCCCGGCCTGGCACTCACCCTGTGGTTCCCCAACACGTAGAAAATGTGGCCCAAAAGCACCAGAGAGCAGGCTGTGAGCCGGTTCAAGTCCTCTGCATTGGACATCTTCAGAGTTTCTCGCAGAAATCGCCTACATGAAGGGAACAGACTGAGGCCCCATTGAATGCCTCTGGGTGAGGAAGGGCAGCAGCAGCCTCTCAGCCCTGAGCAGAACCTGCCTGGCTGGGCACAAAGGAGCTGAGCATATGCTGTCAGGGAGAAGACCACCTAGAGGGCCAGCCCAGGCTGCCCGCCCTCAATAGCACTCACTTGGCCTCATTGTAGCGTCCCTGGAAGAAGGAGAAGAGCCCTCGCACGTAGAAAGCCGCTGCTCGAAGGCAGTGAGAGCTGGGGGAAGAGTGAAGCATCACAATTTGGTGGGGTTCTGTAAATATAGCAGGCTTACAGAAGGGGAGGGGGTGGTGGTGTTGGGAGTAACAGGGCAGTCAGGGGCCCCAAAGGTGGTGGCACCACCCCAGAGAGCAAAACATACATAAAAAAGGCAATGGTAAAGTAGGACCTCAGTGTGGGGCTATGTACCTGACAGGGAAGCTGTGGTCTGGGTTGATCCTCTCCAACAAGTTGTATAACTGCAAAAGAAATGTCAGTTGGGATCACTCTGCATTTCTAAATGTCAGAGAGTTTGGCCCCAACTATGCTATTAGATTGACCAGGGCTGCCTGCAACTTCCTGATAGCATTGAGTCCTCACCGTGAATCGTACGCCTGGGCAACCTATTTGTAGAGGGGGCAGGATCTAGAGCAGGTGAAGGATCTATAGGACACTGCATGGGTTGCTCACTTCCTCACACCCTCATGGGAATTACAGCATCCAGTGTGAAGGGTCTGGTGCAGGGTCCTTGCACCCTCAGCCTACACTGCCCTATGCCAGGTGAGAGGGTCACACTGCATAGGCCACGAGGTCTCACTGTGATTCTATAACAGAAAGCTCAGGAGAGAAACTAAATTTGTCCTGGGAGATTTGATAAAGCTTGGCTTGTTTTCAACAGGAAGAAAGAAGTGTTACCTAGCCAGGGAATGTTTCTGCCCCAGATGTGGCCCTCCTTAGCCACACTATACTCTTACGGATAGATACGCTCGGGCTGCTAAGATGGCTGGTGCCCAGGACATCTCCCACCCTAGCCTCTGCGTAAGAGTTGAAAGGAAGGATACCAATTATGAAGCATGTCACCTACTACCTCTTGGTGTCTATTTCCTTCCCGTATATACACACTGGCCAGGTTGGTTACGATGAAGGCCCATAGCTCCTGGTGGTTGGTGAGCTGAAATGGGGACACAGGACATTAGAGGTTGGCTGCTCATGGCAAGGGAGCTACCCAAACACTTCCTATTGGCTATTGTGGAACCTCCCATTCTCTTTAATTCAGACACACCACCACCACCACCACCACCACCACCCCCTACACACACACACACACACACACACACACACACACACACACACCTGCCTCCTAAATGCAAGAACAGTACAGCTGTTAGTTCTTTCAGCTATAAAACCATCCTCTGTGTTATGAGAAATGTGGGAAACCAGCTGCACTGATCCTGTCCTCAGAACACACTACATTTTGGTCCATTTTCTGTTTGTTTCTCAGGACTGAGACCCAGGCAGTCACTCCCTCCAAACCATGGTGACCCTCAGACCCTGTGAGCACAGATACAACAGAGGTACATCTTGGTTCTGGAAAGGCCCCCACCAGGAAAGAGGCTAGAGATGCTACTAATGACCAGTGGTGGATAGACCACTGTCCCAGTTCTTGGGAACCGAGAATGGCCAAGACACGAATCGGTATGAGAGGCCCAAGTATCACCCAGGTCCTGACTCCCAGAGGGTCTGAGCAAGAGCAGTATGCAAAAGGTTGAGAGTGCAGGTGAAGTGCAAATCCCACCTGCAGGAAGTGCTCTGGTTAGTTTGTTGTAGTACCACAAAAAGAGCTGCTTGGCATCAAGGGGGTTGGTCCAAGTTCTGATTGCACCACTTTCCTCCTGGCTAATGGGGGATTCCCTGAGACACACCATCAGAGCAGCAGCCGCCGCTTGTGGGAAGTGAGGTGAGGAGGAAGGGGCCAAGAGACTATTACAGGCCGTGGTAACTGCAGGTAGGGTAGTGTGTGTGTGTGTGGGGGGGGGGGGGGGGGTCCTGGCAGCCTAAGCCGACTGGAACACAGAATGGGCATGGAAAGCCATGGGAATGAGCATTGTATTTGCTCTTTATGCTCTGGTGTGTTGTCTGTGCCTACGCCCATGTGGAGCATCCTGGAGGAGCAGTACCACCACTAGAGCTCAACCCTAGAAGTAAAGAGGCCTGGAGACTGGCAAAGCAGAGCTCCCTGCCTGACAGTCAGGGTGCACATGACACCCGTGACCTCACCGGAGTCACAGAGCAGCCCCCACACCCTAATCTCTGCTTGGGCCTCCCCAGGACCACCAGGAGGAAGGTGATGCTGGCTTCCTTTTCCTGGAAGCACATAGGGGCTGAAGTGAGGATGTGCTTGTCTGGTCCTGGAGCAAGGTGGGCAGAGCTGAGACCTGCCACTTGGCTGTTGACTCCATGATGATGTGGCACTAGCCCTAGTGGAATTTCCAACCTGGAAGCAGCAGGTGGCCCTGTGGCTGTTGTCCTTATCACAACCCATACCTAACTCCTTACTAAGAAGCACTGCCTGCCCCATGCAGAGAGGGCCAGCACCTTACCCGCAGGGCTGTGGTGAACTGGGCTTCTGCATTGTCCATGCAGTTGACGGAGACACAGTACAGGCCCTGGAAGAAGGAGGCACTTGAGGACTTGAAGCCTTGCCACTTGCCCAGGGAGACATGGCTACATACAGATGAGCCTGATCAGTGACTCTATGAGCCAGGTACACCTGAGTTTTTGCCCTGGCAAGGAGGCAGAAAGACAGCATGCTGGGTTATTCCCTTCTCCTGGGACCTAAGTCAACTTGGACTTAAGGTGTCTGTTTGAAGTCCATTGGGGCGACTGTCATGGGGTTACGCACTGGAATGGGGTGGGGCAGGCAGTCTTGCATACTTACCAGCAGCGTGTGTAGCTGTGCAGCATGGTTGGAGAAGAGCCGGGGTGACTGTTGGCACAACTGGCAGACCTGTGAGATCTGCCGGGAGAGTATGCCCAACGTCACGTGACCTGTAACCTGGGATCCAATGCCCACATCCTGCCTGTCCTAACTTGGGTATAAAGTTCTAGTGGGTGTGTCCATAATGGGGGCAAAGGGCAGTCCTAACCTCCTTGAAGACAGTGATCCTTGTCTGTGACCTGCCTTCTCCCTCATTTCCAACCTGTCTTCGGCTGTCAGCACCTTTGCTCTGCTTAAGGGCCTGTGCCCGCTCAAGAAGTTGGTAAGCAGAAGTTACATGCAGCAAGGAGAGCTCCATCTTTCTTGGGCACTTCTAGAAATGCTGACATTGCCAGCTTTTAGGGACAGGGCCATGGATTTCTGTACCAGATGTCTGATCAATTGTGCCCATGTAGGGTCACCAACTGCCAAGTTTTAGTGAATTGACACAGACAAATGTCCTGCTGATGGGCACTGGGCAAATTTACATTCTCCTATGTGGTAACTTCTGGAATTTGGCAAACTCCAACCACCGGTGCCCGGTCCTCCCATCCCCAGTGGCCTCACCTCCTGTAGTGCGGTGGCCTTATGTCCTGTGACAAGCCTGCACATGATGATGTGCTCAAGCAGGATCACTTGGAAGGAGGATAGGATGGGGCTGCAGTCGAGCACTGGAGGAGAGAAGGGGATGAACACTCAGGATGCAGCTAGAAGAGGCTGACCCCTGGTAAAACCTCCCACCACATTGACCCATTGGCTACCAGGTCTGAGCCTACTTGCTCTGCTGGGCATCATGCCAACACCTAACCTGTCGCTTTATTCATGCTCACTGCACCCATGAGTGCCGGTTTCACCTCCCTGCTCGGGTGCAGAGGGAGACAAGCTCATAGTAGTTTCTGTTGACTGGAGTATTTTAAGAGTAAGAAATCCCTGGAGGGACTTGTTTTCCACCCTGACCCACCACAACCCAGTTGGGTGCTCAAGAACACTCCAAACATAATGGGTTGGCACTGCCCAGGAGAATGATACTGTGTGACAACCTCAGGCAGCAGTGGAGAGACCCGATTCCTGGCTGCCCCAAGTGGCTGTCATCTCATATTGGAACTAGACAGCAGAGACCTTCCCCCACTTGGCCAGAGGGAATGAACTATGATCCCTGAGGGCTTTGTATCTTTAGCTAATGGCTTCTCCTCCAGCAGTGCTGACAAAGGGCACAGGGACTGGGTGAGCAGGTTAATGGGGACACTGAATCAAAGCTCTGGGTCCCTGCTAGTCAAAGGTCCCTGATCCTACAGGATAGATCAGTCAAGTGTCCAGGAAGAACCCACAACTTCTAGGCCATCTGTCAGCAAGAGCCAAATTCAGATCCCAGCCTCACGCTGAGCACAATTCATGTCACAACACAGATAATAGCAGACCCCATTTCAACTGAGCACTGTTTTTTCAGCAGGCTCAGCTAACTATCACAACTGTCTTGTGTAGTGGGGTGGACAGGGTGAGATGGCACAAGACTCCTAGCCAAGGATAAAAGGTCAAGCCTAGGCCTGGCCTGCTCTGTCCTAACCCGTCACTCTCATCTGCCAATTAGAGTAACAAGACCTATGGGACAGGGATTCATGGGGACTGCTTGGCACTACGGTTCTACAGGGTTCTCAGGCCCAATATGAGGCGGTGGCCAGGCCACAGACCAAGGGGCACAATGGCAATGTGACCCACCCAGCCCAACGTACTCTTAAGCTTCTCCAGCTGCATGAGTGCCTTGTCTGTGTACTTCTGCGCCTTCTCCAGGTAGCCAGCCTGCATGGAGTGCATCACAGTCACCTGGAGACAAGACCAGATGGTGGTGGTCACTAGGGTCCTCTCCTCAACTACCTGGTCCCTGGCCTCGGCCCTGGGGACTCACCAAGTAGACAAGCACACACATGTGCTCCTTGGGCAGCCAGTGGAAGAGGTCAGCGGGGTTGCTGGGCAAAATCTCATCGTCATGCAGAGTAGAGATGGTCTGAATGCACTGCTGCAGCTGCTTCAGGCATGGCTTCACGCTTTTCACCTGCAGTGGGTGGGCAGTACTGCACACCTGAGCACCTGCTCCCAATAGGTGCAAGCTCACCAGTCCCTTCTTCCCAGGAGCTCCCACCACACCCACCAACTGCAGGAAGCAGGCTCTCAAAGTGGGGGTCAGGGTCAGAGGGTCATCTGTGGGACTAAGGCTCAGCTATTGCCCAGTGCTGGGTCCAAACACCAAGGACCTGGAGAGATCCGTCCAAAGACCCTGCATGAGCTATGTTTCCTACTTCCTGCTGAGAGAGCAGGACAGGGCTGGGGCAGCTAGTAGTCATCCTTGGGGGCAAAAAGTAGCTTCCTGGGCCAGGAGTCCTACAGGTGCTGTGCCTCATATGAACTGGCCTCTGGGCACTGGGAAGCCCTGTCCCCAGGCCTCATAGGACATATCCAGAGCACCCCATGAATGTGCTCTATGTTTCTATGTATTGAGTGCAGCACTTGGCCCAACAAGTAAATGCAGACATAGGTAGGGAATCTGAGGCAGTCCCTTACCAATGGAAGACCTGATGTTTTCTGGGGCTCCACCTGCAGCCTCCTAGGATTCAAGGCCAGGCCTGTGGTGAGTCAGTGGGACAGGATGGGGTGAATAGGTAGGCAACACCCCCAAAGGCTGAGCACATTCACCCATAGGGGGTACAGCCTCTCCTCAACTACACGGGGATTATAGAGTCAAATTCTCAGAAACAATTGATTCTGTCATTCCCTACTTGAACCTAACAAAGTTCTCATCAGCTGCAGGTGGTGGACAGTTTTAGTACCTGCTGTGTATCAGGCATCTTGCCAGAATCCCCATTTATTATCATGGAATTGTATGAGACCATGAGTACTCCTACAACAAGGACAGACCACTATCAGAGCACCCTCTGCCCTCAGGGGCACAATACTCATGCCAGAGCATAACAGGGTAGATGGGGGAGCTAAACCTTGAATGAGATGCACTTTGTGGTGAGGGACATGAGACAACAACAGAGTGGGTATCTCAGCCCAAGCTCTGCCATCCCACTGCCCATTTGCTCCCCAGCAGCCCTACTGTGGGAGGCATTACCCACCTGCCCTGCATCCAGGTAGTGTGTCACCTGGAGCACAAGGAAAAAGACACGTAAAGACTCCTTCTGGATAGGATTTCCCTGCCAGTTCTCGACAATCTGTCCACAGAGCGTCAGCAGTGGGTGGACTTCCTGCAACTTGCGTTCCATCAGCAGCAGCTGGGGAGGGAGAGACACAGGTGCTAAGGGCCCCTCCCAGTGCACAGGGCCACGGTCTGCTTGCCCACCCACTGGGGGACTGCTGGAACCATGCAAGGAAGGCAAAAAGCTGGGCTGGAACCCACATCTAGGCTGTTCCTTCCTCAGCACAAATTACACAACCTGGAACCTGAGTTTCACCTCTCAACCCAGCTGAAACACGGGGCCTCACTCTGGTGGCTGCCTGTAGTGTTTAAGTGTCTGGGTGCCCAAAGGGCTGTGCCATTATGCTCAGCCTCAACTTACCATCCCTTTGCTGAGCAGGAACAGTGCCCTAGAAAACAGAGAGGGGGAGTCAGTCTGTGAGGCCCAGGTGCCTCCTGGATGCCTACCACCCCAACATCCATAAAGACCAACCAGCAAGCTTGGGGATGGTTTAAAGAGATGACAGTGGCCCCCAGCGACCCTCAATGAGGCTGGTTTTATCTATCAGAATGCTCAACTTTGTTCTAGTCAATCTTTCTTTATGTGTTTGGCCTATTTAGACACTCATGTGGCTCAAAAGCCCAGGATAGACAAGAGAGATGCTCAGAAATCACGGAGGGGTAAGTACAAGAGAATGTGCTTGCCATAATCTCACTCTTGCTCACACATTGGTAGACAGCATCGGTTATGGGGAGAGTGGGCAGGATTTGGTGTTTGAACCCAAAGCCATGTCTCACTGTGGCCCCTCCACACTTCCCCTTCCTCACCGGCCAAGCCTTCTGATTCTGAGTGTTAAGGAGGTGAACTTGGGGAGCTCCAGACATGTCAGCAGCCTCACCACCCACTCTCTCTACTGGCAATAGTCAGCAAGGCTAAATTTCTATTGTTTCTCTTAAACCTTTCAGCATTTTCTAAATGTATGTGCATGGTTGTCAACAAAAGTAATAAAATGAGCATGCTAACAAGTTTAGGAAACAGCCAAAACAGGGGAGACAGGTGCTACCTTCAGGAACATCTGTGGTCTTGCAGAGCCCACAGCCCCGTTTATTCAATGTCTCAGTCTCTGTCCCACCAGCCTTGGCAGAGTCCCTAAGTGCTATGGCCAACACTCCATGAAGTTCTGTTTTACAACTGAGGAGCCTGTAGTGTTCAAGTGTCTGGGTGCCCAAAGGGTTGCACCACAGTGAGAAGCCCTGCCTCATGTCCGCCACAATTGAGGGGCCTGTAGTGTTTAAACTCACAAGATGTTTGTGCTCCAGGCCACCAAGTTCTTCCCTGTTGTTACTTAAAGGTGTGAACTCCTTAAGTCTGTCAGCTGTTCAATTGTTGAAATAGGCAGCTTGGAACTTCACATCAAGGTTCTGATGTTGTCACATAGGAAGCACTTGATGTAGGCTCTACATCCATGGTCAGGGGTTCTGGGCCAGGTGACCTGCAGGCTCTGTGCCCTGGTGGAGGCCACCTAAGTCATCCACCCATAACGGCACAGAAGCCTGTCTGGGGACACTAATACGTGTACTTGTGGGAACATCTGTTGTGTAGCTGTCCAGTACCCTATAAAGTGTGTCATCACGGACCCAGTGGCAGCCACAACATAAGGGGCCAGGAATCTGAGGCCAGATAGTGTAATAGCTGCCATCTCACGGGAGGTTGGCTGAGGGACGAGGGCTGCCTTTGGAAAGCTGTGTGGCTCCACATGGGCCACACATGAGCCAGAGCTCAGAGAACAGAGTTGGGGACCATTCTGTCCCAATAACTCCATGGGATAAGCTCAGTTCTGTGAGAAAGAACTTTCCAGAACCTCAAAGCACACAAAAGAATAAGAGCACTGCTGCCTGGAGTCTGTCAAGTGCACAGAATTCTTCTCTTTGGGGAAAAAAAAGAGAGACTAGAGGCCTTCACAGAGGGTACACAGTGAAGTTCCTAAGGCCTCTGACCCTGACACCCAACCCTCGGGTAAAAGCCTCCAGATGGTCTAAGCAGTTTCATGCATAACACAAATCTTTGTCTCCCTTTTTATTTTAAATTAGAGGCCCAGTGCACATAATTCATGCACAGGTAGGGTCCCTAGGCCTGGCCAGAGATCAGGACCCATCTGGGCCTCTGGCTGCCAGCAGGGCCTTCACCTTCCTTCATTCTGCACCGCCCCCCTGGTGGTCAGCGCATGTCACAGCAAGCAATCAAACTCCTGAGGGGATGCTTGGCATAGTAGCCTTTTATATATAGAAGAAGATTGATTTTAAAGAGGAAGGGAGAGAGAAACATTGATTTGTCGTACCACTTATTTATACATGCATTCGTTGACTTTTGTATGTGTCCTGACTGATTATCAATCCCACAACCCTGATATATTGGGACAACACTCTAACCAAATGAACTTGGGCCAGGGTTATGTCCCTTTTTATTTTTAATTTTTGAAAAATTGATTTGAGAGAGAGAGAAACAATGATGTAAGAAACATCAATTGGCCTTGGCCGGGTAGCTCAATTGGTTAGAGCATTGTCTCCATACACCAAGAAACATCAATTGGCTACCTCCCACATGAACCTCTACCAGGGATCAAACCCACAACCTGTGTATTTGCCCTGATTGGGAATCGAACCCGCCACCTTTCTGTGTCCGGGACAAAGCTCCAACCAAGTGAACCACCCTTCTTTTATACAAACTTACGCTTACTCAGCTTACTATCTATTGCTGTGCGTCTAAAAGTTCTTGGGCATCCTGAGAGGGACACTGGAGTTACTTACCATAGGTGCTGACAAGCATGCTAGATATGCCCTCCGCAGGCATCACTTTCATATTTGCACCAAGAAGGGGATCAGCCCAACAAATCGTACAAGCACTTTTTATTTCAAGAAACTAGATATATGTAAATGCCAATTGTGCCGAGAATACCAGATGCCCTTCACCCTCACAGGCAACTCTCCAACGACATGAGTTAACAGGATGAATTAATGGGGTAAAAGGCATTATGTGGTGCTTTAATTTGTACACCTATTATGTGTGCAGATGACTGCTGTTTCATGCTGAAATGCCAATTCTACTTGTCCAGCAGTGTTTCCCAAAGGGTGGTACGTGTACCCCCAGGGGTACGGGAAGAGTTTGGTGAAGGTACGCGTTGCATGAGAGTTTGGTGGGGATATGCACTGCACTGTGCTTAGCTGCGCCTAATTCTACGTTCTCATGAGTACAAGGGGTACTCAGCGTTATGGAAATTATAGAAGGGGTACACAAAAGTTTGGGAAACACTGTTGTCCAGGATCAAATGGCTGAGCTCTTTACAAGTAAGAGGGAAGGGGTGTGGGGAGAGGTGCCTACCGTGTATACTCGGATCCCACCACCCGTGCATATTCAGCTCCCACACCTAGGAGGTCGCAGGCTGACACCAGGTCCTTCTCAAGGGTGTGCAGTTGCTAAAAAGGAGAGAGAATAATAATCCTTGCTTCCAAAGCTCTTGCTTTATAATACTCAGTACCTGACCTTTAAGCTTTGTTGGCAAGTTAAAGTGAACCTCCCCACTTGTCAACAAAATTGCCTCAGTATCAGTTTTGAGTTAAATTAACCAAATACTGTCATCAATGTTAACTGCTTTAGGTACAGAAACCTATTCTGCCTGCACTATGTACATCATCTAAACTTAATAGTGCATAGAGCCAGCATTAACACTCACAGGCGTAGACCCAGGGCTGCACGAGTGTATCTCTGTGCTTCAAAGGTCACCTTCAGGGGCCAGTCAGTAGGGAGGAGCCAGAGGAACCCCAAACAAGAACTACTTCAGGGGCAAGTGTCTGCAGGAGTTTAAACCCAGAAGCCTTGAGCTAAAAGGAAAGGACACTTGTGGGGCCTCAGGTGAGCTGGGCTCCCAGGTTCATGAAGCACCCTGCAACTCTGTGACCTGAGGCAAGTGTCTGGCCCACATATTACGTGCCAATGTGCAAAGCACACATGGGAGAATTAAAGGAGACGATGCTGTGCGGAACAGCAGCAGGCCAGGGAGGAAGAGCTCAGGAGCGCTGGTTGGACAATCTTTCCCAGCAGGGACCCTGAGCTAAACCCTTCTGGGATGAGGGACTCTAGGGGGTGGGGGTGAGGGGTGGAGGGAAGATAAAGCAACTCTAGCCGAGGGCCCACATCCTGCACACACAGGCAGGTAATGGAATTGTGTCATGGAAGATAGACAAGAGGCAGTGTAGAGGGCAGGCTGGGTCAGGAACAGGAAAGGCTGGAGGCCAGCAGTGAGAGGGAAATGTAGGCAGTGCCCAGAATAGAAAGGCACCCCCCTCAGGGAGCCTTTAGGCCCAGTCATTACAGCCAGGAAGACCTAGTCCAGAGAGCTCCCTCTACCTAAGCATCTCAGAGCACTGGGACCAGGCCACCACTATGTCTGGAGAGCTGTAGGGAAGTTGAGGGAGGAGGAGGCTGGGAAGGGATGACCGCGTAGAGCCCAGGTGAGGCTGTGCCCCAGCAGCCCTGCAAAGGCTTAATTCGAGCAGACATTCATTGCTCAATAGACAGCCCCTTGGAATCTCAGCACAGCTCTTAAAAACATGGTAGGCTTCCAGCAAGAAATGCTTTCAAATTTAAATGAATACAGGCAAAAGGAAGCACCAGAAGAGAGGGGAATGCAATCACCCTTGATGCTGAATGAAAGACCTGTGCTAGAGATACTGCTGATGTCAGAGGCTGAAAGGGACTTGTAAGCAAGCTAAAGGATTATCCCTGTGTCCCCACTGTCTCGGTGCAGCAGCCTGAGGAAGGCCTGTGTGTCCTGAAGTAGTCAGGTGGGTGTGCCCCAATTTTAGCACCCATGTCTTGGCCAGGCCCCACAGTACTCACAGCAAGCTGGAAGAGCAGGCGGCAGTGCCAGTATGGGGTCTGCTGCGATATCTGGATCGCTTTCCGCAACAGTGGCTTTGCTGCATCAACGGAATTCTGAAAGGGAACAGTCACATTTGGGGAAGAAAGGAAATAAGCTGGCAGGCAAGCTGGATTCCATATGCTAGGATGCCGGATGACCACTCCCATTCACACTCACAAATGGATTTGTGGGTTGCTGACTTTTATTTAAAAAAGAAAAGAGTCCTGGCCAGTGTGGCTCAGTTGGTTGGACATTATCCCATGCACCAGGGCGGTTGCCAGTTCAATTCCTGGTCCAGGGCATATGCCTGGGTTATGGGCTTGATCTCTGGTGGGAGGTTTGCATGAGGCAGCCAATCAATGTGTGCTCTCATATCGGTTTCTCTCTTTCTCTCCCTCTCCCTTCCTTTCTCTAAAAATCAATAATAATAATTTAAAAAAAGCCTGGCCAGTGTGGCTCGGTTGGTTGAGTGTCATCCCATGCACCAGGACACCAGGAGATTGCAAAAAAAAAAAAAGCAAGAAGATTTTTTTTTTTTTAAATATGTTTTTATTTCAGAGAGAGGGAAAGGGGGAGATAGAAACATCAATGATAAGGGGGAATCATTGATTGGCTACCACCTACACACCCCCTTTTGAGGATCAAGCAACTAGGGAATGTGCCCCGACTGGGAATTAAGCCATGACCTCCTGGTTCATGGGTTGATGCTCAACCACTGAGCAATACCAGCTGGGCAAGAAAAGACATTTTATTGGACTCACTGGCTGGGGTTTTTTTGCACTGATCATAAAATAATTCATTCAACTAAACTGAAAGTAGCTTTAGTTCAAAACCCTGAACAATTGGATGACAATTGCCATCTTTCTTGTACTACAAGAGAGATGGGCCAGAAGTGTGGAGCATGCATTCCGTTACCCAGGGAGCCTCACAGGCTGTTGCTCAATGTGGAGAATGATTTTCAGCTACACGTGAGATCAGGGAACATATTACAAAGATAAACTATATGGACTTGTTCAAGAACTAATTAGCTTTAGCCTAGGACAAGGCTGTGTTTCCAAGTCTCTGAAGGCTTAGAAAAATATTCTGTTGGTCCTCATGAGCAAGTGATCACCCACAACCACTGAAAGTAGGAAACTAAAGGGAAGCATTAAAAACCAGGAAGTCAGAAAAAAAACCAAAAAAACAAAAACAAAAACAGAACAAAAAGCCCCAGCAAGATGACTCAGTTAGCTAGAGCATCTTCCCATACACCAAAGGTTGCAGGTTTGATTCCTGGTCAGGGAACATATCCAGGTTGCCAGTTCAATCACCTGTTGGGTGCATATAGGAGGCCGCCTTCTCTAAAATCAACAAAAACATATCCTCTGACCAAAACTGGTATGGCTCAGGAGATAAGAGTGTCAGCCTGCGGACTGAAGGGTCCCAGGTTCGAATCCAGTCAAAGGCATGTACCTTGGTTGTGGGCACATCCCAGGTGGGGGTGTGCAAGAGGCAGCTGATCGATGTTTCTCTCTCATTGATGCTTCTAACTCTCTGTCCCTCTCCCTTCCTCTCTGTAAAAAAATCAATAAAATATATTTTTAAAAAAGCAAAAAACATATCATTTGGTAATGATTACAATAAATAAGAAAGCCAAAAGGGAGTCAGTCCACTCCTGAGAGCATCAATTTGTTATTTTGCCGTCATTACAGGGAGACCCCGCTTTCAGAAACCTCCACAGGCTCTTACCTCTTGACAGTATAATTCAGACAAAAGACTTGCTGCTTCAAATTTAACATCTTCAAACTGTGGGATCTAGTGACATCTGGTTAAGGAAGTAGAGATCTGCAGAAAGGTCAGTTTAAAAGAGATAATGTGTGTCCTAGCCATTTGGCTCAGTGGATAGAGCATCAGCCTGAGGAATGAAGGGCCATTGGTTTGATTCCGATCAAGGGTACATGCCAGGGTTGTGGGCTCAATATCCAGCAGGGAGAGTGCAGGAGGCAGCTGATCAATGATTCTCTCTTTTCATTGATGTTTCTATCTTTCCCTCTCCTTTCCTCTCTGAAATCAGTAAAAAATATGTATATAAAATAAATATTGTTTTTTAAAAAAAGATAATGTATGGGGTTCTTATACTGGGGAGGTTCGCCAGTTGGAACTCTAAGTTCATGTATTCCCCCAGCAGTCCCTGAGCTTGCGGCTGGCTAGGTGTGGAACTAGATGCTGGGCTTGAAGAGGAACATGGCACCCATGGTGAGGCCACTGGTCTGAAGGGACAGATATGACTGTGCAGGGATTCTCCAAGACCTAAACCCATGGGTGTATCATAGTGGGAATTCAAGTTTATAACACATACTTTTTATTAAACAACATTTCTTAAAGGAAACAGTACAAAGAAAAGGATACTTGCTGTGATATCAACCACTGAAAGAGAAACAAAAAAGTATTAATTCTCAGCCAAATGTGTGGCACATACTCACTAACTCTGGCTTTGGGGTTTATACTGGTTGTCCTGTCACAAAGACTACAGGTGTTCAGGTAAATGGGGAGGTGGCCTATAGGCTCATTTATCCTCTAATCCAGCAACCACAGCATGCCTGGGGAGAGGGAAACAAGCATTTTCTCCCTTACTGACAGGGTGCTTCCTGTCTCACCAGGCAGGTGAGTCTGAGCCCCTCCCACTGGAGCCACAATGCTTCAGAAGGGGAAGGAATGTAGAGGGGTCCTTATGTGCCAATTACTGCAGTTCCTCAATAGCAAATCATAACATGGGAATTCAAGTACAACTGGAGAGTGAGCCTGGGGGTGTCAATCCTTAGTGGCATTTAAAAGATGCTTGGAGATGAGTAGTTAGCCTCAGAGGGGAGGGAGGAGAGCTCTAGGAAGGACTTGTGAAGGCAGCGAACTGGCAAAGGGGTAGCAGAGATGATTCTGAGATCTGAGCTCGTAGTCCCTTTGCTAGCACACATGCAGGACATAGTTCAGACAATAACATGCTCCTACTTGGGGACTGCTGTGCCCTGGAACTTCACATTCCTACAGGAGGCAATTAGGTGCCAGGAAGGTCCATCCACTAACCACAGTCTATCAGACCATCTAGGACTCAAGCATTCATCTCTGACATTTGTCCCACAAATGTTTTCAGAATCCTGCAAGGCAAATCTAGGGCTGAACAGAAGACCCTGACTTGCCATGCTCTGTGAAAGAACAGCATGGGATGGGGGGAGGGGGCATGTCTAGGGTTGTGTGTGTGTGTGTGTGTGTGTGTGTGTGTGTGTGTTCGTGTTCCCAGGCAAAGAAGTGCTCTTGGCAGAAAAGAACCTATGAAAAGGCTGGAAGGTGTATGTGCCACTCATTGGTTGTAGTGATTGTAAATATGAATGCCCTGTTGTCATCTATGGAGCCCGACCCAATGAGATCTGAGTATCCTAGATGCAGCAGAGAATGCAGAGGGAGGAGAAAAAGGAGGAGGAGGTGGTGGAGGAGGAGGAACCAGAGATTGAAGGCCCAGGGTATGCTGGCTGGGAACAGAGTAGAGGGAGGAAGTGAAGCCTGACGGACAGAGTGAGTGGGAAGAAGGACGTCACAAAAGAGATTGGGAAAGACTTGGAGCTGCACCCCAGACCAGCTGCATGAAAGACACAGGTGGGCCAGGAGGGGGAGCTGTGGGAGAGGAACAAAGAGCACTCAGGGTCACTGGCCTCCTGACTCTCACACAGGCACTCAAGCACATGTGCAGGTGCACACACACACACAGCACATACACATGCTTGCAGAGCCCAAGCAAAAGGCACTATGCAGCCAGCCCGAAAGTCCTTTCTCAAAGCCCCACTGCAGCTGGGTCAGCAGGGGCTCAGAGTCCCCAGAAGGCAGAGCCAGTGCCTGCTGCCAGTACAGCCCCAGAGATGGGGTTCCTTAGCTGGAGGCTATCTACAGGGACAGTGGGGATGGGCCCAGCTCAAGCCACATATGTGTGATATCATAAAGGTGGTAAATGTGAAAGTTGGGGCTTGCTTTTTGCAGAAACCACACCTCCCCAGGAGGAAGGGCAGTCCAGCAACAGAAGCTCCTGAAGACCACCAATTGGGAGGAAGGATGGAATGCTGTGTAGGAGACTGTGTAACTAAAGAGCTGAGTCAGGGACATGTTGAGATCTGGCCCAACCCTGATATTCTGTGGTCCTGCACCTCATTCTCCATGTGGTAAGGCCTCTGTGCTGAAGAGGAGCCCTCTAGGAAGAGGACAGAGTGGATAAAGACACAAGAGGACGGGATTAAAGGTGTGGACCCACATGGATCCTAGTCGCCCTTAGCATCTGTTCCCAGGGCTACAACCTGCTTCCATGCTCTCATGCATGCGCTGTGGCAGGCACTGGAAACACACACAAATGGGGGATGTTAGACAAGACTTATGATGTGCTTCCTCATGGTGCTGTGTTCCAAGTTCCTAGAACAGACCAACACACAGGAGGTACCTGGAAAACTTTTGTCACATGAATGACAAGTTCATCTAGCATCACCAGGAAATGAGAGCTTCCTTATGTGCAAATGGCCACAGGGCTGAGACTTTAGAATTTAAAATACTAACTCCCAAATGGCATCAGACAGCTTCCTTCAAACATTACTGCTTTGTGTCCAGGCATTAGCCTCACTGACACCTTGAGACATCCCTACACTGACCCAGTACCAAAGCTAGAAACTAAAGAACTGGCTCAATGTCAGGGCAAGCCAGTCAGATTGATTGTCTGCCAGACACCAATCAAATGACTCTGCTTTTGTTTCTTTTTAACTCTTGTGACCTAAAATCACAAATCAGAAATATACAGACATCAGAACTATACACAGCTCACAAATGAAGTATCAAGACTGCTACCCTACCCAAAGTTGCAACCTTAACATTAATATTTAAATACAGCTTTCATGTTTCCTTTCTCCTGGTGGGAAAGCAGCCAAAGTGAATGGCCTGCACTGTGGGGAAGCCTGTAGCCACAGGGCAGGATGTGAACAACCCTCGCTGAGATCCTGGGGCCACCTCCCGGTTTTCAGAAAAAGCAGAGATCACTGCAGGCCAATGTACATCCTGAGAGGTGGAAGTGCCCATATCAGCACACTTACTGTGCTTGGAGAATTTAATCCAGGGCCGGCGAGCATTTCAAGACTTCTTTGTACCTCAAAACCAAGGTAACTTTTTTTTTTTAAAGATCAGGTTTTTAATAACCAAATGTGTAGGAATAGTAACTCCTTTGGGATGGAAGCACAACACTTAGGAGCCAGCCTTGTCTCTTTCTGCTGTGTGACCATGTTTATGAGCATCCCCGCCCTCCCCCCATCAACAGCAAGTTGGAAGTGGTCTCCACCTTGTAGGTTTGTTGAGGATCCAATAAGACAGTGTTACAAGAAGCATGAATACATGGTCTGGCATGTAGAAGACGTCAAAAATACTATGGTAATTCCCAGGCAGGAACCAGAAGAATCAGGGGTTGGAAGGGAGGCAAGGGGCGAGTTGATGGAACTGTGAAGTGGTGGTTCCTAATCAGATTTCAAATCCTGAAGTCAGAGGAGACTCAGAGAGTGTGAATGAAGAAAATGAAAATGAAAACGGGAGGTTTAAGCAAAGATCACTCTTCCATGAAAAGGCTAACACCAAGCTCTGTAAATGCAGCTTCTGCACAAGGTTCTGCTCCTGGTCAATGGGGCATGGAACTCAGTAGGACACAAACATGATCCTGAAGAATGACAGACCTGCTCTAGCTGAACCTGATTGTAAAAGGCTCACCACTGAGCCCTTTTGGGCTTAAAAAAGAGGAAGGGAAGCATTTAATTACTTGCTGGGAAAGAAAACCAGAGCCTGTCAGGCTAAACCTGAAAACAGAATTAACAAGAGTTTGGAGCTGCTTTCTAAGTCAGATGAACAAAACCACCACTAACAAGCAGCTCTGTTCCAAAAGCAAAGAGAACGTAAACACAATCTTGACATGGATACTGCATTCAGAGAAACCACTGTACATAGAATGACTGCTTGGATTATAGCAAATAAAAAACTCCAGAGGAGTGGCATTTTTTTCTCTGTCGCTCTTAAATCAGGATAGTCTAAGATGATGATGTACTTTTCAGGCCAAGAGATAAAGTGAAATGTGAGAAAAAGAAAGTTAAGGGGGAATGTGCAAATTACTGAAATGGACCTGTTTGTTTGCATGAAAATAAGGAAGCTTGAAAATTCACACAAGAATAAATGTGTAGCAAGAGGAAAGATAACACAGTGAAAATGAAATGTAAAGGAACACAATCTGAGAAAAACTGTACAAACAGCCTTGCAAGTTCTCTAGTCAAGAGATCTCTGCACCGGCCAGTGTGAATCAGTTGGCTGGGTGTCATCCCTTGCACCAACAGGTTGCCTTTTGATTCTTGGTCAAGCGCACATGCCTGGGTTGTGGTCTTGGTCTCTAGTGGTGGGCATACTGGAGGTGCCCGATCAATGTTGTGCTCTCACATCAATGTTTCTCTCTATTTCTACCTCTCCCTTCATTCTGTCTAAAAATCAATGGAAAAATATCATTGGGTGAGAATTAACAAAAATAAAGTAAAATAAAAGGAGAACATATTGATCCTGGTTGGATATGTTAGTTGGTTAGTGTCGTTAGGTTGTGGGTTCAATCCCAGGTCAGAGCACATATAAGAATCATCCAATAAATGCATACATAAATGGAACAACAAATCAGTGTTTCTCTCTCTCTCTCTTCACTCTTCTCTCTCTCATATCAATAAGTAAAAGTTAAAACTAAATAAATAAAAGGATAACATATTATGATTCTTTATCAAGTGAGTCTGGGAAAGGAAAGAACAAAAGTTGATAGCTGTCCGATTTGGGAAATACACACAACTGATAAAGAATAATGATTTTAAAAAAGCATGCAACACAAAAGGAGATCACAAACAATTGCAGAAGAAAAACAGCATGGAAAACTGCACTTTAATGAAATTTGAACAAAATCTCAGCTGGGAATGTAACCGACAGAAAGAAAGGGATTTCCAGGTATGTCAGTGTGAGCTACAGAGGGGAACTTGTGTCGCTGTGGAAGATCCCACAAGATTCAGGGTTCCGTAAAATCCAAGGAAACCACTTCACGGGCTTAGTCCTGGCCGGAGAGCTCAGATGGCTAAAGCATTGTCCCGATACATCAAGGGTGCGGGTCCGATCCCCAGTCAGGGCACATACAAGAGTCAGGGCACATACAAGAATTAACCAACGAATGCATAAATAAGTGGAATAACAAATTGATGTCTCTCTCTCTCTCTAAAAAAAAATCAATTAAAAAAAAGCTTCTTGTCCACTCCGTATTTTCTCCCTGGCCCATATCTTTCATTACTGCCTAACCTCTTACTACATATTCAGTATTTGTCTCCCTCACTAAAACATAAACTTATGTGAGCAGGGACTGCTTTAGTTATTGCTGATCCCTAGCACCTAGGAGAGGGCTTGGCACCTGTTATGAACTGAATAAATAAGTACCGAATAACTGGGAATAGAACTTCACAAAAACAATGACAATTTATTGTCTTGCCATGGAACCTGGTGATCTTGATCCTAGGTTTGAACCCAACTTTGTTAATAACTTGACATGTGGCTGTGGCCAATCACTTTTCCTCTCTGGGCCCTTACCACCTTACTCTTAAAACAGAAAAGTTGCTCAAGCAAGGACTAAAGTCTCCTTCCAAGTCTTTTTTTTTCTTCTTTTCCTTCTTCAATAATTATATTTATTATTAATATAAACATTAATAATAAAATTAATGTTTTTGTTAATTTGAGAGAGAGAGAGAGAGATCCCCTACTGGGGATCAAGCCTGAAATCCAGGCATGTGCACTCACTGAGAATCAAACCACCCACCCACCTTTTGGTGCATGGGATTATGAGCAACCAACTGAGTAAAACAAAGATCTGGTATCCTTCCCAAAGCAATTTGTTACTTTTGCCACTGGTGGGATCAGATTTACCTCAGATCAATACATTTTTTAAAAGTCGAAGTTGATTCTATGCAAGAAGCTTCCTTTTAAAAACAAATATAGATTATTTTTATTGATTTCAGAGAGAAAGGGAAAAGGAGAGATAGAAACATGGATGAGAGAAAATCATTGATGAGTTGCCTCCTGCATGCCCCCTACTGGGGTTTGAACCTGCAACCCTGGCATGTGCCCTGACCAGGAATCAAACGATGACCTCCTGGTCGATGCTCAACCACTGAGCCATACTTCAATCAGAATAAAAGAGTAAACGGCAAATGAAGTCACAGTCTGATAGGAGTTGAGTGTCACTGTGAGAAGAAAAACTCCACAGCCAGATTCTTTGAGGCACCAAGATCTCTCACAAGTCAAGATGGGAGGGTATAGCCCTGGCCAGTGTGGCTCAGTTAGTAGAACTTCAGCTTGCATACAGAAGGGTCACGAGTTGGAATCCGGGGTCAAGGGCACATACCTGGGTTGCAGGTTCCATCCCAGCCACAGTCCAGTGAGTGCAGGAGGCAACCCATCTATGTGTGTGTCTCTCTCCCCCTCCCTTCCATTCTCTGTACAAATCGAGGGGGGAAATATCCTCCCGCAAGAATTAACAACAACAAAAAGATGGGGGTTTAGGGGGGGGAAGTGAGGCCTGCCTTCTGAAGGGGATGGTGGGAGGTGAAGAGGTCACCAGGTGAATACAGAGAAAGCAAGAGCTAGGAGTGCCCCTTCCCCAACCCCCACCACTGAGCAAACTGGTTCTAGAATCCAGCCCCCCGTCCCCCTAACTCTGTTCCGCCTCCTTACAGGACTTCAAACAACTAATTCTAGGCTGTGCCTCTGCCTCCCACCTATGACTCCTCCCATCACTAATGGGGGCACAATACCCTCTCTAGACACTTAGCAAACTTCCGGGTCCAGGGAGAGAATGCTTCCCGAGGTTTTCCGAGAGACCAAACATCAGATTCCCAAGAGAGGCCCGGACTGTCACCTCGGCCCTCCACTATCTCAAGCCCCTTCAGGAGGGCGCGTTCAGGCTAATGCTTCAGGGGCTGAGCCCGGAGAAGCTGGAAACTGCAGGACTCACTGGCAATCCGGGGACATCTCCAAAGGCGCCAACATGTCTACTCCTGAAATCCTAAAGAATTTGGGGACTCTGTTGCTCCTCAGAAGAGCAGGGCCCTGGACCCTGTCTGTCACTAGAGACGTTAAATAACGTTCCCCGCGAGGGTGGCGGCTGAGGGGTCCTGTGTCCCATGCGGGAAGTCGCACCCCAGGTCCCTGAGGAGCGGTCCGGGCGGCCCTCTCCTGCCTTGGTCGCGGCCCGTCAGTTCAGGCCCCACAAGGAGGCCACGCTCCTCCCTCGATTCGGCCCGCGCTCACCGCTTTCTCCAGGTGGCTGCGCGCCTGTTCGCTGTTCTTGGTATGGTGGTAGAGCACGGAGCCGAGCTGCAGGTGCGTGCGGGCCTCGATGCGCTGAGGCGGCTTGAAGGGGAACACAGCCTGCAGGCAGTGCACACACAGGCGGATCTTGGGCGGGCTGGACGTGCGGAAGTGCTCGGCGAAGCCCAGAAGTGCCAGGTACCATGACTCGGCCGCTTCGGCCTGCGCCGCCTGGGCCGCGGCTGCCTGGGCCGCTGCTGCCGCCTGAGCCGCCATTTTGGCCTCCACAACAACAAGCCGTCACCACAGGGAGGCGGAAGCAAGCCTACGGGGCGGGGCCCGGCACTCTTCGCGCCCCTCGCGATAACTGCCGCACAAAGCACCCTGGAACATGTAGTTTATAATTTGGAGTAGCTGCGACTCCCGGAAAGAGTGAAAAAAGACGACGCCTTCTGATCTGCGGGACTGAGATCAGACCTTACAGAGAGGTCGAGGTTTGCGTTCCTGCGAGAAAGGTCCCAGGTGTCCCCGCAGTGGCAGGGCGTGGCTGGCCAATGGGGACTACATCTCCCATTAGGCCGCGCGCACTATAAAATGCCTCCTCAGGTGGCGCCGGAGCATTGTGGGATTGGATGAGTCTCAAGATGGACAACCGGGATGTTGCAGGTAACAGCCCCCTCCTCCTTTCATGCTCCTGTCTGGGTCCTCCGAGTTACGCGTCTCCGTTTCGTCTTCTGACCGACTCTACCCCTACCCGCTGGTCCTCCCCCTCAGCCTCTGGGCGGCCCGAAGCGACGGGTTCTGCATCTCCCTCGCCTACCGAGGTCTCAGACCCAGTTGCTGTCCCCCACCCTGGGCCTGGTTTGCTGAGGGCGCTTGGCTTGCTTGGCTTCCGTAAAGGCAGACACCGGGTCTGTCTTGCGTCGGCCTTCCGAAGAATAAACCACCTTCAGGGCTCTTCCGAGCTCCGCTCCGCAAAACAGCGGCAACCTTGGGCTGTCCTGCGCCCTTCTCTTCGCAGCAGCTGCCTCTTGGCCTATGTGCTGCTTTCTGGAAAAGCTATTTTCCTGAACTGCTCCCAGGAATTTCCTGGATACATAAATTCCTGAGTCTCTCGAGCCTCCCCTTTACCACAAGCCTTGCCCTTCCATGTCTTCCAGCCCTAACCACCCCAAAATGGATACATTCATCCATTCTGCAAATACTGTGTGCCAGGGATTGTGCTGGTCGCTGGGGATGCAGTGGTAATCAAAACAGGGCCCTGCCTTCCTGAAGGTTACTTTCTAATGGGTGTCAGACAGTGCACCAAGAGGAAATATTTATGCAGAGAGAATTATGATGTGAGAGAGTGGGGCTGGAGGCTGGTGATATTGGGTGACCAAAGAAAGCCTTTTTGAGAAGAGGACATTTGAGATGAGAAGGAAACCTGGGGGGCAGAGCCTTCCACACCAAGGGTGGGAGGGGTACTGGTTTGCCATTTTGAAGAATGTCAAGGATGAGAAGGGGGCTATTTCTGGCAGGGCCTTGAAAATTGACTTTCAGTATTTGGATTTTATTCTGAATCCCATGGGAAAATTTAGAGGTGTCTTCTCCATCTCCACAGCCAATGCCCATGTCTGAAGACACCATCATCTTTTGCTTGGAGCCAGAAAGCCTCCTCATTGGTCTATTTGCTGCCTACACACTCTCTCCAATTAGTAGTCAGAATGACTTTAAAAATAAAAACACCTATTGGATATTGTCAGTTTAATACTCCCTGTCACTTTCCAAAGACCTTAAAGTAAAATCTAGACTCCCTTTCTTATACTCTCGTTCCTGGAACAATTTGCTCAAGCCACTTTGGACCCTTGCTGGTCCTTGAATGCATCAAGCTTTATCCAGCCTTTAGTTTTTGCATCTGCACCTTACTCTGCCCAGATTGTTCCCTATGTGGCTTTTTAGGAAGCTCTTTATGGTTTCAGCTTACTACTTTCTCTTCAAATGGTTATTTTCTGGCTGCTCTAGCTATAGATGCTCCTGTATCATGCTTTTTCATTCTTTTTGGTTTCTAGCATAGAGCTCTTATCATGATTTTGAAGTGACTTTTTAAAAATTAAATATATTTTATTTTTATTATTTTTTAAATATATATTTTATTGATTTTTTACAGAGAGAAAGGGAGAGAGGTAGTTAGAAACATCGATGAGAATCATCGACCTGCTGCCTCCTGCACACCCCCTATTGGGGATGTGCCTGCAACCAAGGTACATGCCCCTGAATCAAACCCAGGACACTTGAGTCCGCAGGCCAACGCTCTATCCACTGAGCCAAACCGGTCAGGGCTTGCAGCTACTTTTTGGTTACAAGTTTATTGTCTCCCTAGCCAGACCCAAGTTCCACATAGGCAGAGGCCTTGTCTTTTGTTAAGCACTTAGCACAGTACCTGGTGTGTATGTAGCTTGGTACATGTTTGCTGAATAAATGAATGAGTGGATATGTACGAATGTCAATTTGAATGTCTGTTGCTACAAGCAGCAGCAACTGGGTATGTGGATGAAGCAAAGATGATTTCTAATGTGTGTTTTTCCCTACCTAGGAAAGGCTAACCGGTGGTTTGGGGTTGCTCCTCCCAAGTCTGGAAAAATGAACATGAACATCCTTCATCAGGAAGAACTCATTGCTCAGAAGAAACGGGAAATTGAAGCCAGAATGGAGCAGAAAGCCAAGCAGAATCAGGTGTCCAACCCTCAGCCCCCACATCCTGGCGAGTAAGTGCACTCTGAGGCTGGATTGGGTCTTAGAGGGTCACAGGCAGAGGGCTGTGCTTATAAGAGAGTCTTGTTATATCTGTGCCCAGTCACAGCTGATGGTGCAAGGAATGACTACTCTCTTTCAGGAGGCTTAGTATGTCAGGAGAGACACAAGGGGTGTGTGGAAACCCAGTGGATAGCCTGCCAATTCTTTCACTAAGCAGTTATTTACTGCTGACAACATGTGGGCCAGGGGTCAGAGGTATAGCTATGCAAATAAAAGCATAAAGCACCAACATTTAAAATTTCTTGATGAAGGAGTAAGAAATATTCAAATTGTCTCAAGACAACCATTTTTTTTTTAAAATATATTTTTATTGATTTTTCACAGAAAGGAAGAGAGAGGGATAGAGAGTTAGAAACATCGAGGAGAGAGAATCATCGATCAGCTGCCTTCTGCACACCCCCTACTGGGGATGTGCCTGCAACCAAGGCACATGCCCTTGCCCGGAATCGAACCCGGGACCTTTCAGTCCGCAGGCCGACGCTCTATCCACTGAGCCAAACCGGTCCCGGCACAAGACAACCATTTTGATAATATTCCTTTCCCACATCTTTGCTTTGTTTTACAAAGTTGTGATCAATTTTGTGTGCTGCTTTTCCAGCACCTTTTTAAAAATATATATATTTTATTGATTTTTTTTACAGAGAGGAAGGGAAAAGGATAGAGAGCTAGAAACATCAATGAGAGAGGAACATCGACCAGCTGCCTCCTGCACACCCACTACTGGGGATGTGCCTGCAACCAATGTACATGCTCTTGACCGGAATCGAACCTGGGACCTCTCAGTCTGCAGGCCGACACTCTATCCACTGAGCCAAACTGGTTTCGGCCAGCACCTTTTTTTTTTTTTAATCCTCACCTGAGGATATCAGAGCTCCAGTGGGTAACAGGAGGCAGTGTGTTCCCACTGTAGGAGTGCAGAAGAGATTTATCACTCTTTTTTTAATATACATATACTAGAGGCCCGTTGCACAAAGATTCATGCAATAGGCCTTCCTTCCCCTGGCTTCTGGCACCGGTTTTTCTCCAGCACCCGGGACCCAGGCCTTCGTTCTGGCTGCAGTGGAGAGGATTGGCTTCTCCACTCTGGCCATGGCAGAAAAGCCAAGCCTCTTCAGTCTTCAGTTGTCTTCAGTCTTCGCTTCATGCTTATGCAAATTAAATTGCCATCTTTGTTGGATTAATTTTCGTGCTCCTGATTGGCTGTTTGGTGTTGGGTAGGTGTGGTCAGTTTGCTTATTTTCTTTCACTAGTGTGAATATACGAGTGGCCTGGTGCACAAAATTTGTGCACATTAAAAGGGAATTAATTAGAGGAAATATTTTAATATTGCTATTTGCCCTTTCTTTATAATAGAAGTGTCAGCAATGAAAGAAAATTAGTAAAATGTATATGAAAATCTCCCTCCTGTCAGAACCTTGGGCATTCTCCGGGACCTAGAGTCAAGTCCCTGCCCACCACCCGCATGTGCTTTGAAAACACAGGAGACCCAGACCCAGCTGGCCCCACCTCCATTGGGTGAGACCCAGCCCCAGCCAGCCCCACTCCCATCAAGCACCTCTGGATGGGGGGGGCAGCACAGCTTTAGGTTCCCCAGCCTGGCACAGCCTCAGGTCCCCAGGCCCAGCGCTGGGGAGCAGGGTGCAGCCTGAGGTACCCTGTCAATCCCCACTGGGTAGGGGACATGGCTGAGGTCCCCTGGCCGACACTGGGGTAGGGGGGCATGACCTGAGGTCCCTGTCCAGCCCCATGGGGTAGGGGGCGGCCTGAGGTCTCTCCTGGCCAGGTGCTATGCAGCCTCAGGTCCCTGCTGTTTGGTCGTGACATTACGGTGTCCGGCTAATTTGCATATTTCTCTATTATATAGATATAATATATAGCCGCTCACAGTGGAGGCGGGGGCCAGTGGCTGCTCTGTGCAGTGAGGCCTGGGGGTCCTGCGGCTCTGTGCAGTGCAGAGGCTGATCCCAGTGTCTCCACCACCTCGTGCAGAGGAGGCATGTTGCAGCAGAGAAGGCAGGTTGTGGCAGGGGAGGGCAGTTGGGGGCCCTCAGTCCAGCAGGGGAGCAGTTAGGGGGCAATCAGGCTGGCAGGCAGAAGCAGTTAGGGGCAATCAGGTAGGCAGGCGAGTGGTTAGAAGCCAGCAATCTCGGATTGTGAGAGGGAGGTCTGACTATGGGATTAGGCCTAAACTGGCAGTTGGACAACCCTTGAGGGGTCCCAGATTGGAAAGGATGCAGGTTGGGTTGAGGGACACCTCCCCTCCTGTGCATGAATTTCGTGCACTGGGCCTCTAGTTTTGACAATATTTCTTTCCCAATTTTTGCTTTGTTTTAGGAAGTTGTGATCAAATTTGTGTGCTGCTTTCTCTGCCTCATTTTTTAAAAAATTATTTATTTGGTTAACTTGAGAAAGAAAAAGAGTGAGAAACATCAATTTGTTGTTCTACTTATTTATACATTCATTGCTTGATTCTTATATGTGCCCTGACCAGGGATTGAGGTACCTGGCCAGCCTTCTGGCACTTTTCTTTTTAAATCCTCAACTGAGGATATATGTCTTTATTGATTTGAGAAAGAGAATTTTTTTTTTTTTTTTTAATATTCACAGCATTGTGCAACTATCACCACTATCAATTACAAAACATTTATCACTCAAAAAGAAACCTCATACCCGATAGCCATCACTCCCCATTCTTCTTTCCCAAGCCCCTGGCAACCACTAATCTAGTTTCTGTCTTCACAGATGTACATATTCTAGATATTTTTTGTGGTAGGTGAACTTTTGTGTCTGACTTCTTTTACTAAACATAATGCTTTCAGGGTTTATCACATTGTAGTGCATGTGAGGGCTTCATTACTTTTTTGATGTTACTATTAATCTTCACCCAATGATATTTTTTCTACTGAGCTTTAGAGAAAGTGGAAGGAAGGGAGGGAGAGAAGGGGTAGAGAGAGAGAGAAATATCAATTGGCTGCCTCCTGCACATGCCCAACTGGGGCCAGGATGGAACCTGCAACCCAGGTACATGCTCTTGATGGGGAATGAAACCTGTGACTCTTCAGTGCACGGGCCAACACTGTAACCACTGAGACATGCCAGCCAGGGCCCATAATTTATTTAACCAGTGTCCCTTGTTCACTACTTAGGTTATTTCCATTTTTAGTTCATTAAAACAGATTTCTAGTAACACTTAATTTAAAAGGAAAAAGTCTAGATCTGTGAGCTCCCTGAGCTTTTACTAACATTGGTGTATCTGTATGATGGATTGTTACTCAGCTTTTAGAAACACTATGTCTGAGGAATTTTTGAGGTTGGTGCAGGATGTATGTTATAATAGAGAATGGAAGAACTAGGGCATGTTCTATGATCACAGCCTTATTTGCTTCTATTTCTAAAATAAAAAATATATACACCAAATTGTTAATAGTATCTATTGTGAGGTGGAAGGAATTGAGTTTTCCTCTTTGCTTTCTATATTTTAATTTTTCTACACTCTTGTTTGTTTTTAATGAGCTCTAGTACTTTTATATAGGGGAAAAATTAATTTAAATTAAGTATTCAGGTCCTCCCTGGCTTTGCTTTTGTGCTGATTTTTATATATTTTTTTAAAATAAGTTTTTATTGATTTTTCTAGAGAGAGGAAAGGAGAGGGAGAGAGTTAGAAACATGGATGAAAGAGAAGCCAATTGGTCATCAACAAATTGGTCAGAACCAATTGGCTGCCTCCTGCATGCATCCAGCTGGGGATCGAGCCAGCAACCCAGGCATGTGCCCCGACCCGGAATTGAACTAGAGACCTCTTGGAGCATGCCCAATGCTAAACCACTTATCAACACTGGCCAGGCTTGTGCTAATTTTTAAAAAACAGGTTTAAGTCCAGCCAGTGCAGTTTAGCGGTTGAGCAATTGACCCAGGAACCAAGAAGTTACTGGTTTGATTCTGAATCTCTGGTTTGATTCTGAATCTCCGATTCAATTCCAGTCAGGGCAGATGCCCAGGTTGCTCGATCCCCGGTGGGTGGCCTACAGGAGGCAGCCAATTGATGATGTTTCTCTTGCATTGATGTTTCTGCTTCTCTATTCCTCTCACTTTCTCTCTCTAAAAATCAATTAAAACAGATTTTTTTTTTAAAAAAATAAGAGTAGATTAAAATTTTTTTAAGTAAAACATACTATTTGCAAAAAGAGAGAATAAAAATATATAATCCCACTGTAATTCTCGCACCAAGAGACTGCTTCGGGTGTTTTCCTGTATGAGTATAATCCTCCCAGAAGTGCTGGCTGACCTAGGCCCAGAAATGCATAGTAAACACACATGCACATGCACTGTTGTGGATAATTCTAAAGTCTAGCCGAGAAGACAGACATGGTACCCAGTAGCAGCTCAGATAATTTGTTTACACCAGGTCGGATAGGAGTTGCGCAGAAAGAGAGCCAGAGGTTCTGAGTTGAGGCTATTTGGATGGAAGGTCAATATTCTGATAGAGTATATCATATGTGTAGCATTGCTTTGACTAGAACAAGATTGTTCGCACCTTACATCTCTGAAGGTAGCTCTCTGCACTCAGCAGTCCCCAAGACACATCTGGGGGTTGGTTTTGGGTTTCACCAGGTAAGAACTTGGGTGGGTATGGAGCTGAGACAGGTAAGGCATGCCCCAGCCCCTCTATTAGAAGTTCACCCTCTCTGTATTCTGTCTTGGGTCTAGAATTGCAAACACACTCAACTCTTCCGCTTCCAACAAGTTTGCCAATGACGGCAGCTTCTTGCAGCAGTTTCTGAAGTTGCAGAAGGCGCAGACTAGCACAGGTGAGTGCAGTTTCCCCATCCCATCTCCTCCTATTCAGGCTCACGCTCATGCTCCTGCTGCCTGCCCTCTCCTCCTGAGGAACTCTGGCTTCCTAGAAATGGCAGGTCCTGCCTCAGATTTGTTCTTCTCATCCTGAGTTCATTGAGGATCCTCATTTCACTCATTTCCACACTAAACATGCAGGGGGAGAGCATGGACCCTGCTCTCAAGATGCTAAACTTCTAGGAGCAGAGATAGCCCATGTTTCAGTCCAGGAGCATGGGGAGCAGGACAAAGCAGGCCCAGGGCTGTGAGACCATGGCTTTGGTCAGAGCAGCAGCTCAGGTGTGAGGAATGGGATCCCCTTTCATAGGTAGGGAACTGCCTGGCCTATAGGAGCCCATGAGACATGCCAGGTGTGCCCTTAGGGAGCCCACCCATAACTGTGTTGTGCAATTTATCAGTCAGAACTCATTTTTACTTTAAAAAAGTTAATGGGGGGGGGGAGGAAACAGAAGAAAGTTAGTGGTGAAAAAGATGACCTTTGTCAGGTTTCCTAGGGAACAGCTAAAAAGAGTTTAGGCCAAATTCACCCTCGGAGAGGAAGAACAGGCTTCTCTTTATCGTAGGGTCACGGGTCATGAGCTGTGTTTGAAAATCCCAGAAGAGGCTTGTTCCAGCTTACCACTGACAACTAGAGGGAATGGGTGTAAGTTGGATGTGGGATTCAGGTCCTATCGAGATAACCAAAAAGTCATGCATCTGTGAACCTTGGTTTCCTGTCTTCATCTGTGAAATGGGGTAATATCTTCTCTGAGCACCCACCACCCACCAGGTGCTGTGCTGAAAGCAGAGGACCCAGCCCCCAGGGACTGACAGCACTCAGATTAGGTGGGAAAAATAGGGAAAGGTGCACTGCAGAGCTTGAGCACAAGTATACGTCCTTCTCTCCCAAGATGCTCCCCCCAGCGTGCCCAGCGCCCCACCTCGAGTACTCCCCCGTGCTGGGAAGAGGCCTCCCCTCCTCAGCAGCCCACTGAACCAGGTGAAGAACTATGTGCACGCTAAGCAGCTGCCCCTGGCCAGCCGCCCTAGTGTCTTCCAATCTCCCGATGAGGATGACGAGGAGGACTATGAGCAGTGGCTGGAGATCAAAGGTAAGTTGAGGGGGCTGCTGCCCTCCTTCTTACCACCACCTTCCAGCTCCGGGGCAGATCCACAGTCAGCAGGGAAAGCGTGGCCAGGAATATGGGGTACTTGGGACTTGAGTCAGGTAAGGCCACTGGGGTAAGGGGTGCAGTTAAAGGAAGGGGGTGAGGAGGAGCTGCAATATGGGCTTCATCCTGGGAGCTGTGGGACCATCATCTACTCTGGGGGCTGGCTTCCAGCCAAGGCAGGGGTATCCTCATTAGTGTTCATTTGCATTTTGCTCCCAATATAAGGAGGACCTTCCATGGCTCCCCAATCTGGGTGCAGGCCCTCCGAGCTCTCTGAGGCCCAGAAGCCCATTTCTTAATGCAGTTCCTGTCCCTGCCAGTCTGAGCCAGAAGTACAAGCCTGCAGGTTGCAGAGTTCACTTTTTTGCCTGGGGAAGGACAGTTATTGGCCTTGGGTGAGTCTAGGTCCCAAGGTGTAGGAGGGTGGCAGTGGTGGCACTCCTAATACTTCTAGCTCTATCTACATTCAGAACAAGGCCTCGGTGCCACATGAGCCATTTGGAGTCTTAAGCTACTCCTGCCAGGCTGGCTGGCTCAGTCATGTTATCCTGACTGAGTACAGATTGAAGTTACTATATGGTCTGCCATAACAGCCTCTAAACTCCTCTTGCTCTGGGATGAGGATGCCAGCTTCAGACCATACATCTGAGCAGATCAGTGGAAAACCTTGAAGTCTGGAACATTAGTACAGAGCTGAGAGGGTGGTGTTTCCTTAGAGAGGTGCCTGGCAGTTCTGACTGTACCCTGCCAAGAACCTCTGCTTTACAAGAGGCGGCGGGTGTCTCAAGGCCCTTAAAGCCTGTTAAGACCTGCTATTGAGGCCTCAGAAGAGTTCTGTGCTTGTAAATGGCAGCCAGATCAGGGTCATTGTCAGGTATGCAGGAGGAGGGTGCGATCACATGTTCCTTCCCCTACCCCCAGTTTCTTGGCAGCCCAAGCAACAAGAGGAAAGATTGGCCACAGGCTCAGTGTCTAGCCCCATTGCCAAAAGGAGCAAACGTTCCTAGGCACTGACTGACAGCAACAACTTTCTCCTGGGAGTTCTCATAAAAGGGATATGACTGTATATTGGCTGACAGATGCTCTCCAAAAAACTCGAGCAAAAAAAGACAAAAGCAAGTTCCACATGGCTCAAAGGGGGGGCTAATGCAAACACAAAAATGTATTTTTATGCCTCAGTTTCTTGAAAAAGCCGAGGTAATGATTAAGCTCGTTGCAGTGAGCTTCCTTAGCACCCAGATTGTGGTCTGGAAAGATTTTCTCACTCACGAAAACCAGGACTTCTTGGAAGAATGGCTGGCTTTAGGTCTGGGCAGGAAGTGTGTCAGATGACCTGCAGCGCCTTGTTCCAGCAGATGGCCAGGAGGCCATCAAGACACTGGGGCCATGTCCAGAGGCCTCCGTATCCAGCTTGAAGAGGCTCCACCAGCCACTGAGGGAACGATTGAGCCTCTATGATGACATTAGTTGCAGTGGGTTGGAACCCAATGTGTTTAAATCAGAGTTTGTAATGCTATTTTAAAAGAATTTTTCATCTTTGAAGGATGGAAGGGAACAAATTTATTATACTTAATGCTGGTAAATAAAGAGCAGACTTAAGCATTAAAAAATGGGGAGGGAGGCGGGCGGGAGAGGCTGGCTATGTTTTCAAACGTCTCCCTTCCAGCCTGCGGATCAGCTCAGCCTTGAGAGGTTCACACAGTTCTCTCCCACCCAGTGTGTCTTGTGAAAACTGTTCAGACCAACTCCCCTCGTCACAGTGCTTTGTGCATGGACTCGGGATGTCTGACAACCTCCTGCATTTCACCCTCTTCTCCCCCTACCCCTTTGTCCTTGTGGTCCGTAGAGAGAGTGTGCCTGTTGACTGTGGGGTGTGTGAGTTGAACCCCAGTACTGACAGCCTCCTTAAAGTTTCACCCCCAGAGGGAGTCGAGACTCGGAAAGTGATAGAGAAATTGGCCCGCTTTGTGGCAGAAGGAGGCCCCGAGTTAGAAAAAGTAGCTATGGAGAACTACAAGGATAACCCAGCATTTTCGTAAGTATTTTTGGGAGGGGAAGGACACTGGTACTTAATGTTCTTGACACACAGTAGTACGTGCAGACATTTTTGTAAAATTCTTGTGGTGACTGAGGTTGGCTGGGGCTGGGTGCTTGCTTGTGCGGGCCAGATGCTGTTCCAAGCACTTTATAACTCACACCAAAGGTTGCAAAAGTCTCCAATGTGATGTGGAGACTTAATTTTGAGTTGTGTCAAAGCATCTGTGCTTGTCAGCTTGCTTTTGTATAACATGTCTTCAGATGCTGCACAAGTGTACCCGTCCTCATTACTCATCTTCCTTTCTGTTTTGCAAAACTCTTCAGGTTTTTGCATGATAAGAATAGCAGGGAATTCCTCTACTACAGAAAGAAACTGGCTGAGACAAAGAAGGAATCACAAAAGTTGCAAACAACCTCTCAGAAAGGTAGGTGGGCAGAGGGGGGTGGGAGGTTCTGGGGAGGTGCTTGGACAAATTGCTCCCCATGTGAAATCAGGTATCCTAGAGGGTGCTGTGGCATGGGTTAGCGCTGATGTCCTTGGTTTGTGCCCTCCCTGGCAGCCAGGGTCAAGGGGTGTTGCCACCCTTTTCACCAGTGCTTTGAGGAGGTGGGAGGTCTGAGGACCAAGGTCAAGGTTGTATTCAGGAGCTCAGCCCTGTACATGCAAAAGAGACAGAGGGACGGTGTGCTAGCCCAGCAGTTGGCAACCAGTGGTCCATGGACCACTGGTCATCCATGAGGTCTGAAAGGTTGGCGGCCGCTGTGCTAGCCTATTGGTTCATGGTCATTTTAACAAGTGTTAATGAATGCCTACCAACCCTGGAAATAAATGTAGTGCCTGACACTTGGGAGTGGGGCCGAAGAGCCAGGGGCCAGAAACAATGAGCTGGTGATATCTGGTAGGATTAGTGTCAGTGGATGGGGAAGAGGCTGGATGGTCTCCAGCTGTAATGACTATCCCAGCCAGTGCTGGTGAGTGTGAGGAATTGATGTTTAAGCCTGACATGGGCCACAGAGATTGGTCTGTCATGTCTCCTGCTGCACTTTGCCCTGATGTCCCCAGGAGGAGGGCCACGGTCATCACGCCATGTGACCTGGCTTAGCAGCCCCTCTAGAAAGAACAAGGTGGGGGCTCCTGCCTTCCCTCTGGGCCTGTCACAAACTTCCCTTATATTATGCTGCCATCTCCCAGGCCCCCCAAGACCTATGGGTGGAAGGGGTAGGGAGCAGAGCTCAGAATAAGTTGTAGTATTAATTATGTTTGGTCCCAGTGCAATAATGTGATTCCCATTTGCCTGTTTCTCTTTGCATTGTTTCTAAAATGAACCCCTCTTGTTGCCCATGAGGTTTTTAGCAGGAATTAGGCTGTTGGGTGTGGTGAGTTGAGCTCAGTACTGACAGCCTGCTTAAAGTTTCACCCCCAGAGGACGAAGAGGTCAAGAACCTTGCAGAAAAGTTGGCCAGGTTCATAGCGGATGGGGGTCCTGAGGTGGAAACCATCGCCCTCCAAAACAATCGTGAGAACCAGGCATTCAGGTAAGGAGGGACCCACCAGAGAGGTGACTGCTCAGCCTGGTGATCCTAAGACAGGCCAGGGTCCCGTGGCGAGAAGCTAGCAGGGCTGGGACTCAGCTCTAGGAATTTCTGGCCCCAGAGCTTAGCCTTGCCACCCTATATCTACTCCCCAGTGCACATCACTGCCTTGAGTTGTCTCTGAGGCAGGTGTGGCAGAGGCTTTGAGGCTTTGTGTTTTTCCAGGTGCCTCGTTGAGAAAATCTCTAGCACTTGCCTGGCTCCATTTGTAACAGACAGTGGCCCCAAGCTGGGGCCAGGCCAGGCGCTTCAGCCGAACCTCACAAAACTGTGTTGGTCATTGTGTGTATTCTTAGGGTCTCATCTTTACAACGAGGGGAACAGCAATAAAGCAGGAGTGTGGTAACTCAGGCTCTGAGGAATGGGAGTCCCTAGCCTGTGTGCAGGTTCCATGGACAGGATGGGACAAGCAGCTTGACCTCCCTGCTATCCCCAGCCATGAAGTCATACCCCAGCCCTTCAGGCTAGGTCTGTTAACCCTATACATTGGTGGGGTTTAGCACTTGATCTTTGCCAGGGAAGTTGGGGTGGGGAGAGTGGGAGCGCACAGTTGCTGTTGCAGGGTGGCACTGGCAGAGGCTTGTGAGGTGGACACTGAACCCAAAGAGGGGTGATGCACCCCTGAAGATGCTTTTGGCCACAAGTCCCCACCCAGTCTAGTGAGGTGATGTGACGGTGACTTTAACAAAAAGTGCAGGAGCAGCACACACCTGGGCTGGTTGATTCAGAGACACCATCAGGCACTCTGGAGGGAGGAAGCAAGAGTGGATAGGAGGCAGGAGGCAGGTGTCCAGAAGGACCACTACACGGGAGTGAAGCAGTTGATATGCCGGGCACTGTGCCAGTGCAGCTGGAGTGCCGGGTGAGTGTTGACATGCTGTGCAGACAAGCTGCGGAGCCCATCAGGGCCAGGTCCAGAAGGCTCAGGTGTTTATTGAGAGCCTTTGGAGGGTCTGCATAGGGAGTGATGGGCTAACTGTGCTTCCAGGATCACTGATCACAATCATAGAGGGTGATCAGTCATTCCAGGTTGAGGGTTGAGGTAGAGGAGGTTTGCGGGAGGCTGCTGAGGGCTCAAGGATAGCTGTGGGGGGTTGCCTAGGATGAGGAGGAACCCTGGGCAGAAGTGGCTGAAGGTGAGCTGCTGAGGGACCACAGCTGGCACTCCACGCACTGGGGAGGAATGAATGGGAGATGATTGGGTATTCGGGCCTGGTCAGGATATACAGGTTCATTCCACACGGACTGTTTAATCTTTGTGTGAGATTAAGTGTGAGACAGCTCTTCTCTCCCCAAACCAAACAGCCACCTAGTGTACTTGCTGCACTGGCCCTTCTGTGCCTTCCTGATTCCCCACATGGGCCGGGCACACCCCAGCAGCTGTGTGTTTTGGAAAACAATGTTATAACTGTTTACCTATTCCTTTGACCAGTCATCCCACTTCTGAAATGCCATCCCCCAAATAATGTTAAATACAGCATCATCCATAGTCATGAAAAGTCAGTAACACATTGAGTGCCCAGCCTTAGTGGGCTAAACTCCTATAACTGCATCTCTAACACACTTGTGTGAGCCACCTTGTTTACAAGTGTGCTGGCCTCTCACAGGTGAGAAAACAGACAAGAAGGCCAATTAGTGGAGCTACCTTTGCCGCCACATTCCACTGCATTCTAATGAGAAAGCCTTATGTTGTTGGGTTAAAGGTTTTTTGTTTTTTTTAAAATCAGCATACAGAAATTAGAACCACAATTCTGTTCAAATAAATCTGCACTGGATAAAAAAAGACTGGAAGGAAAGACACCCAAGTGTTAGCTTTGGTTAAGGAGACGGGAGAGAGGATCACTCCTATCAGGAGTGAGCTCCTAAAATCGATCATGTTCCAATTACTCATCCTTACTTTGTCCCTAACCCTTGACAACCACTGATCTTCTTATTGACTTGGCAATTTTGCTTTTTCCAGAATGTCATACAATTGGAATATATAGTATGTAGCTTTTTCAGGTTGGCTTCTTTTACTTAGTGATGTGCATTTAAGTTTCCTCCATGTTTTTCCATGGCTTCATAGCTCATTTTGGGTGCACCATGATTTATCCACTGTAGGATATCTTGTCTGCTTCTGAATTTGGGCAGCTATGAAGAAAGCTACTATAAACATCTGTGGACAGGTTTTTGTGTGGATAAAGATTCTCATCTCTTTAGGATAAATACTAAGAACTGTGATTGCTAGATAGAATGATGTATTTAGTATTTTCTTCCAGTTTGCCGACCACTGGTCTAAGAGATAATAGAGGGAGCTACAGGCTTTACCAGCTCTGAACTCAGTGCCACCTATTTCTACGTTGGGGTGGGGGAACTACCCCTTAGGAGACTGAGAGACTTGTGGCTTCCAGCAACGCAGGGGTTTTGCCCTTGGGTTGGAGTCCAGGTCCCCATTTGTTTCTATGATAATTGTCTTCGTTTTGGCTCTGTTTGCTGTTGACACCTCTCACTAGTGCATCAGGGGAAAAAAGTGTTTGAGCTGTGCAGTTTAGGGCAAATCTTGCCCTTTCTGACACCAGGTTTCTCTCGCACCTCAGGATTCCTAGTGCTTTCAGCAGGGGAAGAGCTTCGCAGAGCCTGGGGCAGGTCTGAGGAGCCTGCCCATTTTCCTTGGGACCAGTGTATCAGAAACTGTGTGACAGATGCCTGATGAAGTTGGGGTGAGGGTGGGGGTTTGGTGTGGCCCTCAGTATTGTGACAGGCTGTGGCATGCCACGTTATTTTTCAATTTTGGGTCACTAAAGCCTGGTAGTACAGGAGGTCATAGTGGAGACTTTGAAGTGACCCTGGCTGACCTGGGGGGCTTGCACAAGCCCCATGCTACTCCTGCCCCAACTGACAGTGTGCCCCTCCACTCTTCTTTGCAGCTTTCTGTACGAACCCAGCAGCCAGGGGTACAAATACTACCGCCAGAAACTGGAGGAGTTCCGGAAAGCAAGGGCAGGCCCAACAGGCACCCAAATGGTGCCCGAGCTCTGCCCTCAGCGCAGACCGCCTCCTGAGATCCTGTCCGGATCTGTACCCCTCACTGCTGCTTGCCCCGCTTCATCTGCCCCCTCACCTGCTATCAACCCAGCTCCAGCTGCCCATGGAAAGCCAGCCACTGCAGCCACTACAGCCACTACAGCCACTACAGCCACTACAGCCACAGTGAAGAGGAAGCGAAAGAGCCGATGGGGGCCTGAGGAGGAAAAGGTGGAACTCCCACCCGCTGAGCTGGTGCAGAGAGACGTGGATGCCACCCCCTCACCCCTTTCAGGTGGGCTTTTTCAGGAAGTCTGGTGGCATCACATTGTGTGTTGTATGTAGCAGGTGTCAGGACTTCCTTCCCTTCAGTGTGTGGATGGACTACACTTTTGTTCATCCTTTATCTGCCTATAGACACTTGGGTGGTTTCTACCTTTTGGCAGTTGTGACTAGTACTGCTGTGAACTCACATATACAATACTATTTGGATCCCTTATTTCAGTTCTCCTGTGTGTATACCTAGGAGTGGAATTGCTGAGTCATATGGTGATTCTACATTTAACTTTTTAAGGAACCACCAACCTGTTCTCTATGGCAGATGCATCATTTTACATCCTTCTAGCAATGCACAAGAGTTTCAATTTCTCCACATCCTCCCCTTATTATAGTCTTCCAGTTTATACTGGAAAGATTGTGTTTTATACTGGATCACATTGTAGTTTTAATTTGCATTTTTCTAGTGACTAATAGTTTTGAGCATCTTTTCATGTGCTTATTGGCCATTTGTATAGCTTATTTGGAAAAATGTCTATTTTAGTTCTTTTCCCATTTTAAAAAATAAATCGTATTGTTCCGATTATTACAACTGTTCCCCTTTTTTCCTCCCATAGCTCCCCTCCACCCAGTTCCCACCCCACCCTCTGCCCTTACCCCACCACCACTGTCTTCATCCATCAGTGTATGATTTTTGTCCAGTCTCTTCTCTCATCTCCCACATCCCTTTCTCCGAGAATTGTCAGTCCACTCTCTTTCTATGCCCCTGATTCTATTATATTCACCAGTTTATTCTGTTCATCAGATTTTTTATTCACTTGATACTTAGATTAACTTGTTGATATATATGTATTTGTTTTTCATAATTTTTATCTTTATCTTTTTCTTCTTCCCCTTCCTCTTCCTCTTAAAGAATACCTTTCAGCATTTCATATAATATTGGTTTGATGGTGATGAACTCCTTTACCTTTTTTTTATCTGTGAAGCTCTTTATCTGACCTTCAATTATGAATGATAGCTTTGCTGGGTAGAGTAATCTTGATTATAGGTTCTTGCTATTCATCCCTTTGAATATTTCTTGCCACTCCCAACTGGCCTGCAAAGTTTCTGTTGAGTAATCAGCTGACAATCCTATGGGTGCTCCCTTGCAGGTAACTAACTGTTTTTCTCTTGCTGCTTTTAATATTCTCTCTTTGTCTTTTGCTCTTAGCATTTTAATTATGATGTGTTTTGGTGTGGTCCTCTTTAGATTCCTTTGTTTGGTGTTCTCTGTGCTTCCTGGACTTGTAAGTCTATTTCTTTCACTAGGTGGGGGAAGTTTTTGGTTATTATTTCTTCAAATAGGTTTTCAGTTTCTTGCTCTCTCTCTTCTTCTGGCATCCCCATAATTTGAATGTTGATACACTTGAAGTTGACCCAGAGGCTCCTTATACCATCTTCATATTTTTGGATTCTTTTTGCTTTTTGCTTTTCTGGTTGGGTGTTTTTTGCTTCTTTGTATTTCAAATTTTTGACTCGATTCTTGCATTCCTCTAGTCGGCTATTGGGTCTCTGTATAATATTTTTTATTTCAGTCAGTGTATGCTTAATTTCTAGTTGGTCCTTTTTCATATCCTTGAGGATATGAAATTTATTGGCAGTTTCTAAAAAATTCTTGAAAAACTTTATAAATGTGGTTTTGAACTCTAAATCCAGTCATTTGCTTTCCTCCATTTTTTTCATTTGTGACCTTTTTCTTTGTCTCCACATTTTGGCTGTTTCCCTGAGTTTATAAGAGTGGCTTTGTGTGCTAGGTGTCATATAGGGCCCAGTGGCTCAACCTTCCCAGTTACCTGAGGTGGACACTCTTGGTGCACCCCTTTGTGGGCTGTGTGCATAGTCTTGTATAATAGTTAAGCCTTGTTGGTTGTGAGGATCAGCGGTGTCTATGCTGGGAGAACTTCTGTGCTGGAAACACCCTTTTTCCAGCAAGATTTGCTTCAGTGGGGCTTTGGTGCTCACTGAGTCTGCCCCCTGAGTGTGTCCGTTATGGATCTGAGGAGTTGTAATCTGGATGATCCTACTCTGACCCCTGGGTACACTGGCTCTTTGATCTGCCTGAGGCCACCCAGCAGGAGCTACAGAGAGATTTACAGATTTCTCTCCCTTGGGTTTTGGAGGTGCCCACATGAGGCTCAGCTTGGAAACAATGCAAGCTGTTGTGGGGCCTTGGGTTTTCTTTTGGATGTTCTGGGTCTCTCTGACTCAGCTGCAGTTTGTTAGGTAAGTTTAGCTTTCAAAGGACAAGACCATTCATATGCAAAAGCCTCTGTGCACAGCTTGGATGGGGCAGAGTCTCCGGGCAGAGCAAACAGTAATGGCTTCCCATCAGCCCTGCCCTAAGAGACCCCTGGGTCTCATTGTCCCTTGGTAATCACTGCAAGCACCTCTGAGAGAAAGCCGCCCTTGAGTTCCACCCACTGTTAGTCCAGTTTCTCCCCATGTGAGTTTGGGTCTCCAGAGTCTCACCTGGAACTGGAGTTCAGAGCAATCAGGAGCTGTGTCTCCTTGTGGATTGAAAAAGCCAGCCAGCCTTGTACTCAGTTGCCAGCTCTCTTCACGCGGGCGCCTCCATACCTCTACACTTTACTTCTGCAGCTCCTGTGAGTCTCAGTGTGCTTTTCTCTTTCCTTCCAGTTGTAGAATTCCACTTAGGCAGCCTTCCTGTGGTTCTGGATGATGTCCGTTTTTTCTTTTAGTTGTAGATTTGAATTTTGTGCGAGGCAGCAAGTTCATGTGTTTACCTATGCTGCCATCTTGGTTTCTCCTCTTTTCCCATTTTTAAATTGGGTTATTTGTGGTTTTGTCATTGAGTTATAAGAGTTCTTTGTGTATTCTGGATATTAACTCCTATTTAGATATATTATTTGAAAATATTTCCTCTCATTCTTTGAGTTGTCTTTTTACCCTTTTAATAATGTCTTTTTACTCACAAACGTTTTAAATGTTAATGAAGTTCAATTTATTTTTGTTTGTTTGTTTGTTTGTTGCCTATGATTTTGGTGTCATATTTAAGAAACCATAGCCAAGGGCCTCCTGGTGCTTACCACAGGCTGTGTGCTTACACTGACTGTACAGAAATAGGAGGCAGAGTAAACCTACCCCATGTACACCTCAGCTCAGGCACTTCGTCTGGTCTGTATTGTGATCGGGGAGACATTGAATCAAGGAGGTTTGGGATATGACTTGTTTTCACTTTCTCTAGGCAAAGTGTAGATGGTGGCTATAGCTTTATTTGAGACATGGCAGTTCAGCCAGGGAATGAAAAAAGGAAAAAAAGAAAAGGAAAAAAACATAGCTAAATCCAAGGTCATGAAGATTTGACCCTATATCTTCTTCTAAGAGTTTTATAGTTTTAGGTTTTTTGTTGTTTTTTTCCATGAGTGAAAACTTCATTGCTCCAACACTTTATATGAATGTCACCAACACCTCATTGGGGCAAATATATAAAAAGCACAATCATCTCAACTTCTCAACTGATTCACTGTACAGACCCTTCCCAGGCCTCACTCCCAGTACCACTGGTGCATTTAAATGGCAGCAGCTGCACTTGCTTGAGCCTCCTTTGCAGATGCAGCCTTGGGCACACTTGGCACAGCCCAGGGAGCAGCAGGAGCAGCAGCTTTTTCAACATGTGTACAGTTGTAAGATGTGTATTTGCAGTTGTCTCCACAGATGCATATTCCTTACAACAAGCAGGAGTATTTCCTGGGGTCCATGGTCCAGATGCTGTCTGTGCTGGAGAAGGAAGTGTATAATTTTAGGTCTTAAATTTAGATATTTGTTATTCCTCACCCAATGATAGTTTTTTCACTGATCTTTAGAGAAAATAGAAAGGAGGGAGGCAGGGGGAGAGAGAAACATCCATTGGTTGCCTCCTATTAATATTTGCACCCCATCTGAGGCTGAGGATCGAACCTGAAACCCAGGTACATGCCCTTGACTGTGAATCGAACCCAAGACCCTTGGGTGCACAAGCTGATGCTCTAACCACTGAACTTACCAACCAGGCGATCTTATTGTCTCCCTTAAACTTTATTTTTTTTTTTTTTAATATATTTTATTGATTTTTCACAGAGAGGAAGAGAGAGGGATAGAGAGAAACATCGATGAGAGAGAATCATCGATCAGCTGCCTCTTGCACACCCCCTACTGGGGATGCACCCGCAACCAAGGTACATGCCCTTGACCGGAATCGAACCTGGGACCTTTCAGTCCCCAGGCCGACGCTCTATCCACTGAGCCAAACCGGTCCCGGCTCCCTTAAACTTTAAAGTACTTAAATTCATTCTTGTCATAGAAAACCTTCTGCATGGGACTCTCATATATCATATAGTTGATAGCCCACACAGACCTTCTTCAAGGAGAGCTTGAGGTGTAGACCTTGGGTCACAGAGCAACTGCATTTGGTTCTTGCTGGCAAAGCCCCAGCCATAGGCCTCTTCACTTTCCCAGAGGATCCTCTCCACCCATCTGCCTGGCTTTTCCCCCGAAACCAATACCCAGATGGGCCATCACAGCATCTTCACATGAATCAGTGCTGCTGGAGCTCCAGCCAAGCTCTGAAGCAGATGCCAAATTAAATGCTGCGAGGCAAATGGCTGCCTCTCCAGAAGGAGCTAAACAGAGCCACACAGCTGAGTCTTAACACCAGACTCCAAATCTGTGTATGTCTATACTAGGATATACTTCCATGAGCCAATGTTTGTGCGTGTGCACACATGCATTGCACTCTCATCTCTGCTCTAGTGTCTCTGGCTCTGCAAAGTCCCCACCATGTCATCCATTAGCCACATGACCTCGTTTGAAGCCCCTGACCTCTGAGTTCTGGGGTTGGTGTCTACAATATGGCTACCTGGAGAGGACATGTGGGAATGAAATTGGGTACACATGACAGTGCAAGGTGTGACCCCTGTGGTCCTCACATAACATGAGAGACTAACTGAACTGCTATGAGGGCCCTGCTGTGCATGCTCCAAGTGCCTCAGGTATTGTCAACGAGTGGATTTTGCATCGCACACACGAGCAGAGCCAGGCCCATGTGTCCATCACTGATTGACCTGTGTCTTGTTTCCAGTTCAGGACCTCAAGGGGCTAGGCTACGAGAAAGGGAAGCCCGTGGGCCTAGTAGGCGTCACAGAACTGTCAGACGCCCAAAAGAAGCAGCTGAAGGAGCAGCAGGAGGTAAGGCCAAGGGTGGACCAGTTCCACAGCTGCTGGTGGCAGATTGTCGTGTGATCACTGCACGTGTGTCCCCCCCCCACCTGTGGTGCAGTGATCACACCGTCAGCAGATGGGCTCCTGGGCAGGCTGGTTCCCCACCAATACCATGCCAACCCCAGTGTATAGCTGGACCCAGAGCTCAGGCCTCCTCATGCTGGCCTGTCATTCTGCACAGCTGGTGCTCAGTAACTATTCCAAATAGTGCCTGTAGGCTGTTCCCACTCAGCAGTCTTTTTTTTTTTTTTTTTTTTTTTTTAATAAAATTTATTGATTTTTTTTTTTTACAGAGAGAAAGAGAGAGGGATAGAGAGTTAGAAACATCGATGAGAGAGAATCATCGATCAGCTGCTCTTGCACACCTCCCACTGGGGATGTGCCCGCAACCAAGGTACATGCCCTTGATCGGAATTGAACCTAGGACCTTTCAGTCCGCAAGTTGATGCTCTATACACTGAGCCAAACCGGTTTTGGCTTTTTTTTTTTTTTTAATATATTTTGATTTTTTTTTTTTTTTTTTTTTTTTTTTTTTTTTTTTTTTTTTTTTACAGAGGAAGGGAGAGAGATAGTTAGAAACATCGATGAGAGAGAAACATCCATCAGCTGCCTCCTGCACACCCTCTACTGGGGATGTGCCCGAAACCAAGGTACATGCCCTTGTCTGGAATCGAACCTGGGACCTTTCAGTCCACAGGCTGATGCTCTATCCACTGAGCCAAACCGGTTTCAGCTCCCACTCGGTAATCTTAAATTTTCCATCCAGTTCCCTCCAGCATTCAGTGCAGGACAGGCCTGGCTAGCACTGGGCGCCCTGAGTGATGTGAGGGTCACTCTGCTGGTAGTGGGCAGTGCTGGGGTGAAGGCTAGCTTGGCCTCTTTGCTGCTTCCCTGGGGAACTAGAGGCATTGGCCCATCAGTTCTTGGGGATGCCTCACCCTGGCCATATCCTCTAGGCCAGGGCTCTGTCACATCACCCTTACCATTCCTAGGGATAAGGAGCCCAAGTTGCCCTCATTTAGTCCATGATGATGGTGCCTGGTTCTGAGCAAGACAGAGAGAGGCCCCTCTCTCATCACAGAGACAAGGGGAGACTCGGTTATATGGTGCAGGCCCTGACATAGTGTGTGCTCCCCACAGATGCAGCAGATGTATGACATGATCATGCAGCACAAGCGAGCGATGCAGGACATGCAGTTGTTGTGGGATAAGGCACTGCAGCAGCACCAGCATGGCTATGACAGTGACGAAGAGGTGGATAGCGAGCTGGGCACCTGGGAGCACCAGTTGCGGCGCATGGAGATGGACAAGACTCGGGGTACGCTGAGGTTTCCAGCGGGGGATGGCTGGAAGCCCCACTCACCTGTCGGCCTATAAGACCTTGGGCACAAGCCTTGGCTTTTCTGTGCCTCAGTTCTCTCAGTGGTAAAAGGAGTGGTGCAGGGCTGCCCTGAGGGATCAGGGTCAGGTCAGGGTCTGCCCTAGCTGCCTCCCTCTCTCCCGGCCGCTCACTTCTTCCTTCTCTTACCTTTTCTATCTCTCCGGACAGAGTGGGCTGAGCAGCTGACGAAGATGGGCCGGGGGAAGCACTTCATTGGAGATTTTTTGCCACCTGATGAGCTGGAGAAGTTCATGGAGACCTTCAAAGCCTTAAAGGTGAATGGGGGGTCCCCAAGCATCAACCCTGCCATGGGCCTGTCCAGCAGGCGGCCTCTTCACACACAGGAGGAACCAGGCTCTCTTCCACGGAGGCATCTGTTCCTGGCAGATGTCCATTTGGGGAATTCACAAATAGCTCAGCTGCCACTTTAGAAACATTTCCTGGGGCTTTGGGATATCCTGCTTCCACTGAAGCCAATTAATGCAAAGTGCAGGCTCAAGCCCCCCTGGACGGGGCTCCTCAGGATGAAAGCTCAGCATTCCTCCTCGGCACGTAGAGAGACAGCTGACTGACACAGAGCCTCTTCACCTAGTTGACCATGCTGCTTTTTCACACTTTGTGTAACAAATCGCCCTCAGAAGCTGAGCTTTTCTTTGCAGGTGACTCTTGCCCATGACAGAGGAGGCCTGTGTGGCTGTCACCTTGCTCTCTTTGACTTGGTTGCCAGAGAGCACTAAGTGTGACTATGGGAACCCTGAGGAGAAGGGACTTGGTTTGAGGTGGGGGGCAGATAGGCACATGGGCTGATGGCCCCAGCTAGTGGCCAGTGAGGCCATAGGGGGCGTGTTTTGGCCTTAGGGGATGACAGCTGCTTGGTCCTACAGGAAGGCCGTGAGCCTGACTACTCCGAGTACAAGGAATTCAAGCTGACGGTGGAGAATATTGGCTACCAGATGCTGATGAAGATGGGCTGGAAGGAGGGTGATGGCCTAGGCTCAGAGGGCCAGGGCATCAAGAACCCAGTTAACAAGTGAGTGTGACCCTTGATGCAGGGTGGGGGTGAGGGGGTACAGACTAGTCCCAGTGTCTGGGTCTAGTCCTGTCTCTGGTGGCTAGCCCAGCTCAGGCCCTTCCCTCCTATGTGCACCACTTAGCTGTTCTCCAGCCCAGCACAGCTTGCATGGCCTCCACGGCCCCACTTCGAGCTGCTGCTGCTCCTAGGCAGGCTGGTGGGCTAAGCCTTCCTGTCCCAGCTCAGGCTGGACATCTGCTCTTCTGCTGGCACCAGCCTGCTTTCCTGCTCACATTCTGCACCTCCCCCCTCACCTCCCGCAGGGGCACAACCACAGTGGATGGCGCTGGCTTTGGCATTGACCGGCCAGCAGAGCTTTCTAAGGAGGATGACGAGTACGAGGCCTTCCGCAAGAGGATGATGCTGGCTTACCGCTTCCGGCCCAACCCTCTGGTGCGTGCGTTCCCATCCCCCACATTCCTCCGGTTTGGCACTGGTTTCTCACTGTCCACAGTAGTGGGTTGGCAGTGCTGGTAACAGAAGTATCCCTCCTCCCTCCGTCCAGCTAGTCCAGGTCTCACCAGCAACCCCACCACCACTCCATCTGCATTTGAGCCTCTTCTTCCTCTCCAGAGCCAGCCATCTCAAGGAGTGAGCTCAGCTGCCCCTAAAAGGTTCTGGATGGGAGGAGCTGCTATCTGTTAGCATTAATGCACTCCCTTTTATCTTATTGCCTCCCACAGAACAACCCCAGGCGGCCTTACTACTGAGTATTCTGGAGAAACACACCAACATACTTTCCAGACAACCAACCGAGCATTCTTGGGCTGTAGAATGTCTTGGACTGCATTACTGCCCGCCCTTTCCGTTGTCTCAAGTGTCATGCTATGTATTAAAGTCCCAATGCTTGCCCACTGGGGGAGCCTGGTCGTGCCATCACCAGAGACCCCTCGTGTTCCTCAGCAGCTGGGCTGGGCTGGGCAGGTGAGAATGAGATGCCGTGTGAAGGCTCCCCGGCACCTGAGGAATCCAAGAGAGCACCGCCTGGACCTCTGCTTGTTGGGTCTCCGTCCCTCATCAGCCTGGGATGGAGTCGAGAGGAGGGCCACACGTGGGCAGGCCCTCCCAACTTAGCACCGTGCTATAGAAGGGAACTGGGGAGGGATCTCCAGGCAGGGCCTCGCCTTCCACAGGGCACACCTGTGCTACCCACCTCCCTGTCAAATGATACTCCCTGCCAGTGATGGCTGCAGCCCATGCTGCCACAGCTGCACTGTGTGGTGTACACATGTCCCTGGGCCTCATGCCTCTGTGGGACAGCTGTGTGCTAAAATGTCACGCCTCCTAGAGCAGGGGTGGGGAACTTTTTTTCTGCCAAGGGCCATTTGTATATTTATAGCATCATTCACGGGCCATACAAAATTTTTCAACAGCCCGGCTGGTGTTGCTCAGTGGTTGAGCATCAACCTATAAACCAGGAGGTCAGGGTTCCATTTCTGGTCAGGTTACATGCCTGGGTTGTGGACCATCCCCCAAAGGAGACGTGCAGGAGGCAGCTGATCAATGTTTCTTATCATTGATATTTCTATCTATTCCTCTCCCTCTCTCTTGAAATCAATAAAAACATATTTTTTAAAAAAATTAACTTAAAAGTTAGCCTGCTGTATTTGGTCAGACATTTAGTTAACTCACCCTTAATGCCTTGGCAGGGCCAAACCAAATGATTTTGTGGGCCTTATAAGACCCTTGGGCCAGACGTTCCCCACCGCTGTCCTAGAGGATGTGAGGTCTGTGGGTGGCCTGGCCAATGTGTGCTGAGAGCTGCTGTGTCTAGATTCAGAATCTCACATTTATGCAGAAACACCTGGGGATCTTGTTCAGCTGCAGCCATGCTTGAAGTATCAAGAGTGTGAGAATTTAAGGGGACCTTAACTCACCCACCTGTGCCACACATGCACCCAGTGGGTCATGCTCAATCCCTGTGGGCTCATGGGCTCGATTCAAGCTAGAATCAGGCTCCTGAGCTAGCCTGCACTCAGCGAACACTGAGCACCAACTGAGTCAGAATGTGACAGTGAACTAACAATTAGACTGATCCATGCTGCCAGGAGAAACAGAGCTGTGGTGCAGGTGACATGGGCTGGTGGGGCTTCAGAGACTGGGAGGGTCTCAACAGCACAACAGATTGGGTGACATGACACCATCCCCCTTCCGTGGGTGCTGTGCCCAGGCAGGGCAAAGAGGTGACCCTTGCCAAAATCCTGATCACAGATGAGTAGCTGTTGGAAGCCAGCAGTCCCTGGGCACCCCACCAGACAGGTCAAGGTCACCCCTCTATTAAATTCTCAGTGACTGGGAGGCTGTCCAGACTCAGCCCCCAGACTACCCCATGCATGGGGAGAGTTGGATGACAAGGCCTCCCAATTGTGTGTGTGCAGGTACCTCCCAGACCCAGAGTGAAAGGCCAGGCCCCTAGGCAGAGCTGGACTAGACACCCCTGGCCCTGCAGGTGGCAGGGAGGGCTGCCTGGAGGGGGAGGCAGTGGGAAGTTCTCTAAGGGGTGAGGAAACACAAGATGGTCCATCTTGTACACAGGAAAGAGGCCTGTGGGCTTTTGGCACTGCCAGAGTTGGGAAGGTCAAGAAACCAGGCTGGAGTTTCATGTCAGCCCAGAGGAACCTGAACTTCATCCCATGGGCAAGCGGCATCTCGGGAAGGCCAGAAGATCCTGTTACCCACGCTTAGAGCTAGGACTCAGCTGCCACAAGGCCCAGGGTCTGCATGGAAAAGGGATGAGGGTTTCAGTTTTCCCCCGACCCAAGAAGGAATTAGGTGGCACTATACACTCCTTTCCAGCAGCCATAGTACTACATGGGTGAGAGACTGTTTGAAGGTAGTAACAGAGACATAATTCCCACCTTGCAGCCCCCTCAGAGGTCCATCTCCCCTTTATTCCTCCCCCTGAACTCAGCACAGCCTCCTGGCTGCTCAGAACTTTCCCAGCCCCAGGCTCCTTACTGCTGCTCATGCCGGGGCCTGAGCTATTCTTACCAGGACCTTCTCACCAACCTGGCTCCATCCCCACTTAATCTGGGGCCGCCTTCCTCTGACCCCGCCCACGTGGGCAGCCCCTCCCACCCCGCCCTCAGCTACCCACGGGGTGTCCTGGCTCTAAGGAAGGATCTCAACACGGAATCACAGAGGCCTTCAGGGGACCCTAACGCAGGGCTGTAATCTCCTGCCCTGAAATGATCCCCACCCAGGCTGTCAAAGTTTCACACTTCGGGCACGTGTTTAAAATGTGTCTGTGGCCTCCAAGTGAAAAAATTCAAATCCAAGGACACTGAAGGGAACTGCACCGCGGAGTGATATTGGTTTCTCCCTGGGATGCGCACGGAATATGGGATGAAGAAAGCAGAACAAAGAGATCAACCAAAGGACTTGTGTGCATGCATATGGGCCTAGCCAGTGGCCATGGACAACAGGGGGATGGGGACATATGTGGGGAGGGGTTTGGGATAGGAATGGGAGGATGAGGACAATTATGTGATAGCATAATCAATAATAATAATAATAATAATAAAGAACATCAGGAAAACAAATTTCCTCAGAATAAAGTTGCCAGTCCCGGATCTCCAGGGCGCGAGGGTCGTGATCTGGCCTTTAATGGAGAGGGAAACTGCGCTGGGCGATGGGACGGCCTGCGGAGGATGGCTCTGAATCCGGTGAGGATATCGAGAGGGAAGGGCCAGGCAAGGGGGTGGGGCCTCGGAGGCTCCCCAGGAGCACGCGGGGTGGCCCTGGGCCGCGACAGGACCTGGGCGCAGCCGGGGGCGACCTTTGCGCAGGGCGGGGCGGGCCCGAGTCCCTGGCAACCTCCGGTCCAGACGCGCCACCACGAAGGAGCGGAGCGCCCCGGAGGTTTAGCCGGGCCGAGCGGGGTCCGGGCACCGCGGCTATGGACATCCCCCCGCTGGCCGGCAAGATCGCGGCTCTGTCGCTCGCCGCCCTCCCGGTGTCCTACGCGCTCAACCACGTCTCGGCGCTCTCGCAGTGCGTGCGGGGGGCGTGGGCCGCGGGCCGCGCTGGGGGGTGCGGAGGGGGCCGGGGAGAGGATGCATATTGGCTGGCCGGACTCTGGGCGTGAGCCTTGAGCCCCTAGCCGTTTGGGCCGGGCGTGGGTTAGAACTTCCAACCGGAAGTCCTCTTTCCGCTGGCCCAGAGGCTGTGTGCTGGGGGTGAGGGCGCCCCTGGGACATTTGGGCCCCGGGGAAAAGGAACCTTCAGAAACAGAGCCTACCACCTCCCCCCACCCCGTCACACACACACACACACACACACACACACACACACACACACACGGGGCAGGCAGGGCTTTGGAGCATTTCTCGGGCTTTCCCAGGGATATGCCCAGCACAGGTTCCAAAGTCGCCAAGGGTCAAAGTATTGCCCCAGATAAGGCCCTGGTGACCTGGCTCTTGCCACACAGGTTCTGCTGCACCACCCCTGCCAGGCTGCCCCTCCATCTCCTGTTCAAGACCTGGGACTTTCTTTTGTTCAGGGCTGGCCCACCCTGCCTCTAGCCTCAGTTTCCCCAGATGCTATGTCTGTCTTCCCTGTGTCTGTCTCCTAACCTCAGACTCTCTTCCTGTGGATCCAGCATTGGCAAAGCCCCTCACACTCCTAAACCCAGCTCAACCCAAGAATGGAGAAGAGGGAGTCTTGAGGCTAGCTCCTTTGGGTACAATTTACTGGATCTCAAGTGTCCCAGGTTGCCTCTAAAAGCCTCAGTTCCTTCACTGTGTAATGAACACAATCCTAGATCTCATCCCATAGAGTTAAGGATTATGGATTGTGTACAAAGACTCTGGTGTGGCCCCATCTGGTGACTATAATTGTCGTTGTTAGTCCGATGGGGACAGGAATGGGGATCCCAGCTGTTAGAGGGGTTCCAGAGAAGGTAGAGTCCTGGAGAGAGTGGGGGAGGAGGGGAGAATGCGTGGCCTTGCCAAGTTTTGGGGACTGCCCAGAGACCTGGCTTCTCTTGTCTGTGACCCTTGTTGACCTGTTTTATCGGGTCAATGAAAACAGATCGGGGTGGAGGTGGGTGGACTTTAGCCGGGAGGAGTCAGGAGCTTCACACAGGGAGACACACAGAGCTGAGCACCAGAGACCATCTGGCAGGGTGGGCGCTGGGTCTAGCCACAGAGCTCAGTGCTGTTGAATGAATGACTGAGCAACGGAGTCAAACATATCAGCAAGTGATGGGATAAATCATAGAATCAGAAAGGGTTGACAGGTGCCCCCTCTGTACCTGGCCCAAGTTTGACAACAATCTTTTCTGAGCTGAAACCAGTTTGGCTCAGTGACAGAGCGTCGGTCTGCGGACTGAAAGATCCCAGGTTCGATTCCGGTCAAGGGCATGTACCTTGGTTGCAGGCACATCCCCAGTAGGGAGTGTGCAGGAGGCAGCTGGTTGATGTTTCTCATCGACATTTCTAGCTCTCTATCCCTCTCCCTTCCTCTCTGTAAAAAAAAATCAATAAAATATATTTTAAAAATATATTTTATTGATCTTATACAGAGAGGAAGAGAGAGAGAGATTAGAAACATCGATGAGAGAGAATCATCCATCAGCTGCCTCTTGCACACCCCCCACTGAGTACGTGCCCGCAACCAAGGTACATGCCCTTGACCGGAATTGAACCCGGGACCCTTCAGTCCCCAAGCCGACGCTCTATCCACCGAGCCAAACCGGTTTCGGCTCAAT